AGGTTCAATTTGTTTAGGAATTCTTCTTTGAAGAAGAATTCCGTAGCTTCTGTTCGAACAGACAGCTCGCGAGACACAGGATTTAATTTATTCACGAGGCGTCGTGAAATTAGGGAGTTCTCTGCTACGAAGTTGAATATAATCCTACGCGACATGTAGAAAGAAGGTTCGTTCCCTTCGAATTACCGTGAACTCAACCAGACTTTCGTTCGAGAACCAAAGGCAAGCTTTCGCTGGCACGTACTTTGTATACTTATTACACTGTGACTCTTCTAAATATTATTCCATTACCATAAATACCGCAGGAAACTCACGACGCGCCTTTATGCTCGTCTACGAAGCGAAGTTATGAAACTTTCAATAAATTTCGATAATAATAATTTTTAGCGAAACAACGTGCAACACTTTCGTCCGTTTTATAGAAAGATACGCGACGAATACGATTCGTATTTGTTGAAATAATTTAGTTATCGGTGAAACTTGTCATTTTGCAACTGACAATTACAATTTTTCACCTTGTGTAATATATACGAGAGAAGTTACACATATTCCAAAAATGTTTATTCGAACAATATGATTATGAATCTTCGAACAAACTGCAAGTGATGTTTCAGAGTTGGTTTGGAAACATGGATTTTTCGATCAAAGTTTAACATACACGTACGACGAGTATGTCATAAATTTTATGCTTCATCTTTTCTACAGATGAATTAAAAATAAAGTAGACTCTGCTGACAGTTATGCTTCGAAAGAATCGAATATGAATTACATAAAAATACTAAGTAATGTGTTACACACATTAAGTGTGGATCAAGCGTAAAAATTTTTAGGACGTTAACTTCACATCCACAGTTTTCTTCCATTGCTTGTACCATTTTTCCTTTCATACACGTCACATGCTGTACCGTTTTGAATTACGAAGAAAATAAAAATCATTAAACTTCCATCCGAGACTCGAGGAAAAATGAATTTTCGTTGATCGAATTACACGATTTCTCTCGCGTAACTTGCAAAACGTGACGCGCCGGCGTTGAATGGCTTCCTACCGATAAGAATAACTAAGAACATAGTTGGTCAAGTCCGATTTTACAACTTTTTATCTTGGTTACGCGGCTAAAAGCCCAAGGTCCGTAACGACGTCGGAATAATTTACGTGAACATCCTAAATCGGGAACCGGCTCAGTGGAACCGTGTAATTGAATGGTTCGATCTGCGCCATGTCATGCTCGGATTATCGTTCATTGTGTCCCAATTGACTCTCGGATATCGTGCCTCGCGATACACGTCCATGCTTTTTAACTACTTCGCGCTCGATCCCATTATCAGTCGATTTATGACAGAGGTGATTCAGCGATCGGATTATCAAACCGGGTGACGTGACTACGTTCGATTGGTTATCATTCTGAACCGTAAAAAGACTATTAAAAGAAAAAAGAAAAAAAGCGGAGAAAGAGAGAAAAATGGAACTTGTTACATCGTTCAATGGATACGCGAAGAAAAATTTAATATGATAATGAAAGATCTTCACATCGTGTGACGCGAGAATATACAACGAGAAAGCTGTTCGATCGTCGAATAAGTGAAATTTTAAGGCACGCCGCTGTGATTAGAGATCGGAGATCGTCTGAAAGAGATGTGGAAGTTGTGATTGTAGAATTAGAGAATCATCGGATTACGAATTCATAGAATTATGGAATTATCGAGTACTGGAATTACTGAATCATAAAATTGTCGAAATTACAGAATTATGAAATTGTAAGATATTATATGGAATACCTGAAGTTTAGAATCTTAAATATCGAACGCAGTCAAGCGTAAGCGATAAGAGAAAGAGAGATATTGGAAATATTTCTCTGTCAAATGTAGGTAATTACCAACGTGTTTCAAATATATTCCGATATATATTTAAAGTTCTTCTTCCAATCGAAGAAAATAAATAAAAATTTAACTGAGATCCTAAAGATTTCACGATCGAGATTAAGTAACGAGGTTCTTTTTCTGCTTCTTTTTCATTTTCCTCAAATTCGTCGATCGAGTGGTATATCTAGCTGGCTTTAATGACAATGTTTCTACAAGCTTCGGGTATATTAGAGACTATTACCACTGCAACGTCGCCTTTGTTCAATTCATACGGCGTACAATGGCGGATACTCTTTGCCAGGCTCCATTGTAAGACTTTCTGAAAACGTTAATATAGTCCGTCGAACTTTTGAAATGGAACAAGAGAGAGACCTCGAAGTTTACCTTAGGCAAAATGTGCAACTATTTGGCCTGATTAGAGTTATTTCTACGTTCCATTCTTTCGTTTCTATCGCGTGGGATGATCTAGCATCTGATCCTTCCAAGTTTTCGCTTGCAGTTTTCCACGTATGTTTGTGAGATAAAATGTTTCAAAATTTGAGAGATATTCGAATTGTACGATCATGTATCTCGATGATACTAGTTAATTTTTTGACGATATATATATGTATATTCTGTTTAGTTTATAAAAATTATTAATGAAAATTTCCTTTTCGAGGCTATTCTTCATTCTGAGAACAATTTGTCCTACGCTGAGAAAACTTTTTCGTTCAAGATATTAATTATCCGAAGCTGAAACGACAAGGAATGTAAAATTGAAAATACTTCGCCCTTAAACTGAAAGTAATTCAGTCTTTAAACTATAAAGTTACTTAATACTCAAAGTACTTTAAGCTTCAACTTCAAAATAATTTAGTTTCCAAGATTAAGAATTAATTTCGTCTTTTCACTCAATCCATTAGTACGAAACTATATTTTTGACGTTCAAGGATTTACATCATCTTTCTTTTTCCTAAAGTTTGTAATACTTTGAACCTCGAATAAACTAAAACGTTCAAAACACTACGATAAACTGTTCTTTATATAAATTTCTTTGACTCTATAATGCATTTTTTTTTCACAAACATTTGTTATTCTAATGTGCTTTTTATACTTCTACGAAACCGTCTCACTCACGTTTATCTTTTATTTATCATTCGAGTTGTAATAGAATTCAAACTGAAGAAGTGAAAAATTGATGAGATAGAGAGGAGTAATCGAAGATGTTCGAATAAATATTTCAAGATGTAGCGTCAATTTTAATAAATAACCACCGTTTGTTCGGAACCGGAAGTGTTCAATGCATGGGGGTCAGATGCAGGTTTGTTTCGTTATAACCGTAGAATTTTCGAGGACAACAGTTTCGGAGGAAATTCTATAAAATTCTACGATTCTATGGCAGCAAGTTTCGGTTGGCCGGAAATCAATGGGAATCGACGCGCTTTCAACAAAACGAATTTTTCAACCAAATATTTTCGACCTACGCGATTTAGTTTATTAAATCGGAGCAAAATTTTCGAATTTTCCAATTTAACAGAAGACAATTACCTCTCAAAACCACCTATTTGAATCCATAATCTTTTATTATTCCATATCTGATATGACGAATTCGTCAAACACTTCCAGTGCAATTCAATCTTTCAATTTCTAGAACAAAACAGACTTTTCCTTTAAAAATATTCCCAACCACCAATCCAACTGCGAGTCGTAGTAAAATTCTAATCGTTAGATAACGAGAGTCGCAATCTTCCATTCGATCAGAAACAAATTCACTCGTGATATTAAATTATTCTCTGGCAAATCACCTATTTATACCGTGCTTACTCACTCTAGTTTTTTTCCCCCGGACCATTTCGATGCATTGAAAGCATTCGATTACGCATAAATATTAATAAAATACTCTTGCAGTGTGATTCGACTTATTACGCAGAAATCAACAACTATCAAAAATCGAGGAATTATTCGGTATTACGATGTTAGTCGAACGAAAATTTCCCGAAAATTCCCTGATTCGACCTATCTTAACCCAGTTCGTTCTAACGGAATCAGCTGACGCCTGTCGGTAAACGTTCTTTCGCGTTCGGACAGATCGGTTGATGAATACGTTTACGCTGAAGGATCGCGAAGGATCACGTTGTAAACAGGGATCGGGACACACAGCTGAGAGGGGAAGGAGCGGATTGGCGCGAAGACAGCGAATACGAGACGGAGAATGCACGACAGGAATTATCGACGCGCGCGGCTCGAGTACACCGCTATACCAACTGTGCGATCAAGGTCGCGAGCCGAGGGTCTTCCTCTATGCACGTTTAGGAAGTCGATGGGAAGACAACTGAAAAACACGGTCATTCCGATCCTCGTCACTCCTCAATATCGCGAGTCAGTCCTCTGTCGCGACCAGCGACGTCGGCCAAAATCAATGGAAAAAGTGTCACACGACAGGGCACGAGAGAGAGAGAGAGAGAGAGAGAGAAAGAGACAGTTAACAGACACTAAAATTTATAGAACACTCGAAAAAATCGACCTTTCCTTCGTCTGGGCTTCGATCACCTTTCGTGTAATCATTTTCCAACACCGCAACCTATGAAATCTCGAACGTATGGACGACCTGTGCTGCGTGGTTGGTTTCCACCAAAACGAAGGCAAAAAGCCAAAATTGCTGTAAATGATTGGGAGGCAAGGAAATTGGAAGAATTTGTCACGTCGAGAATGGGTCTGGGTAGCCGGGACCCAGGGACGGAAAGGACACGCGTATTTGGAATTCTGTCCAGGAAAGGGTAGCATCGATAACGATCCGTGTTCTCGAGCAGCGCGCCTCTGATAATCGAATTTCTGTCAGCGTGAGAGTGTCACGCAGTCTCCTAGCCGTGAATTTTCGGGCAAATTTACGCGACCTATATGTAATAAAATATACACGCGATGCCACATAACCTGATGTAATATAGGAAAACGGAGAGAGGCAGATCAATTATTCGGAAGGAGCAAGGTGTACCTGAGCACCTCATTGAGACGCGTACGGATCGTGTTTGTGAACGCGTGACGCGAGGTGGCACGGGGGATTTTTCATTGAAATTCCGTGAACGTGACGCGGACACGGGAGAAAGCGAGATGGAGGAACCGCGTGCTTAGTCGCGCCGACGCATCGTTTACAGCTCACTCACCTACGTATCGTCCGCCTATCAGCGCGGCCAAAGCTCGACTAAAATGCAGCCTTTGGTGCTCTGGTGCTGGTTCACCTCTCTGCCACTTGCTTCGTGTCGTACGCGAGCTCTCCTCGACGATTGCCGATCGTCTCGTGTCACAACGTTTACTCTCTCTCCTCTTCGTGGAAACGTCACCTCCGTTTCCGTGTCGAGCTGGTCTCGTGAGCGCAGCTCCGAGCGAAAACCCGCCAAGACGCTCGAGTATTTCGTCGCATTCGTGCACGAACAGTAACTGGCGGCCTTGTCATCGAGGCGATCAGTACGGCACCTGAGCGCGCGTCCGCTCCAGCGAGACGACTCGCGCTTCGGCCAATGGGAGCGCGGCGTGGTAAGTGTCGCACATGCGCGTCGAGCTACCTGCGTGGCGGCAGTATTCGAACGTTTCATTTATTGAACGTCCCCTGTTCAACCCCTCGTTGAGTTATCGTACAACAGCGTTACACTAATTCGAACGTGGATGGAATTCGTTTTCGATTCATTCTCGCTTTTGTCGTAGCAGCTGTACGGGTCGAAACGAACGTTTGTCAGTTAGGCTTTTCCATTACTGGTTTTACTGTTGGACGAAAATCGATGACAAGATAAAATTAAACGCGAGTGGAATTAAACGTTTCACTGTACAATTGGAGAATTGTTTAATATCGTCGCAATTTGTTTATAAAACAAAGATCCCTTGAGATGAAATTTCATCCGCTGTTTTAAAGATTAATATCCGTTGCAGTTAATAACAGTTCTTGATTTCATTATAATATCCGCGTAATTGAACACCGTCGATGCAGATTATTACAAATGTGTTTAAATTTATGACATTTATTTTTGATGGCATATTTTATGTACATGTTTAATTTGCGTATTACTCGGCGATGTAAATTATTTGGATAAAGGAATGAATTTCAAGTGTAAATATGTTTCAGTGTCAATGTATACTGTTTATTTATAATTAACAACACAAGAGATTGCATTCATCGAATAATTTATATGTAATAAGTTAATTCATTCTCATCCTATAGATACACTCAATGCATCTTTATTGCATAGTATCAGAATTGAGACTCCTGTTACCACTTTTTTGTCATTTTCAATGCTCATCGTAGAAAGAGCGTTCATGTTCAGTTCAAAAAATAATTTTCGGTGCAGATGTAACATTATTCATATTTTGATGTTAATTCCTATCACTAGTAGCGCTGCTGTAAAAAACCAGACTAAATCGATATGATAGAATGTGACACGAAAATAGTAAGAGATTCAAGCGATCCCCAAAACATGGGATACGAAGACTAGAACTAGAAATTGAATGTTCTAGCATTGACTAACAAGTCAATTCTATGTTTAGTCAATGACATTATTCATAATTTCTGCTTTTAATTCTCGTTACTAGTGGCGCTGTAGTGCAAAACCTGACTAAATCGATGTGGTAGATTGTGACACGAAAGTGATAAGGAATTCTTTTATCCTATATCTATCACGATAAAAGATATGAAACCTATTTCTATCGTCAAACAGTATTTACATTTACCATTAATTTTATCATCGATCCACGATTCTTTTGTTTCTTAATTACCTATCTCAATGGTGGTTCGATCAGCTCGCACAAAGTAATGAATATACTTTTGAATTCAACTGTTTGCAATGCGATTTGTTGATCTATTCTTTGGACGTATCTTTCGTGTCATAAATATTTATGAAAATGTATTGCTGTGCACGTGGCACGTTTCACTGTCAGTATGCCAATGAAGTCAAGTTTGACAAATTAAAGACAAAGTACAGCATCGACGAGGATATAGTTGTGCATTACATAATACGAGACAGAGTGAGTGAAGTCTTCTCGGTCTTTTTCCTTCGCGCGGCAGTTAATATCTTGCTGCGTCGCACGTTCTGACGATAATCAAATTTTTAAGATTCACACATCGTCACGTGACTGGATCGGAATTTTCCCAAGAGGATGGAGCAATCTGCAGCAGTATCTTACCTTCGAGTTTGTTGTCCTATCACCCAAAACATCGAATCTGTCCAATCGCAGCATCATGTTTTTACACACGTTTCATCGAGAGGTTATTAAATATGAATATTAGACACGAGTAATAGCCGAGTTGACATTAAAATTTTTATATCATTAAAACAAGAATTTGTTTAGCAGAGTACGAACATTTGTGCAAATTCAAATTTTGCATAAACAGCCGTAGTCTACTAATTGCAGTATGCAAAACTATTGTTTGATACAATTCCTAGAGTTAGAAGTTTCTGAATTATTCTTATTTTGACCTTTCAATATTTCCATGTCTTATTTCAACGAGAATAATTTTAATAACAAACTTTCAACTCAGTCCTAGTTAATTTCAATTTAATCACTCTAATTACTAATTTATTCAAGCTTTAATGATTAATTTAATTTTTAATTTTTAATCATTAATGTATTAATTTACTAACCTTTAAACCAGATTTATTCTAGATTTAAACTAAACCTATCTAACGTTTTCTAATAATTAACAATCAGGTCTGGTTTCTCTGCTTCTGTTTCAAATTTTTCTGTTTGAAAACAGGCGTTACCGAACGTCGATTATCAATTTGTTTACGTAAGCAAAGAAATAGAAATTCTGGGAACCAGCTCCTACTTCCGTTTCATCGTCACCCCGAATCTTCGTCCCCTCGATCGAAACTCGAATATAGTGGACGTAAGTCGTTGCAGGAAATTCACAATTTCCAGTCGGCCATCCGATTGCTAAGAATCGAACGCAATTTTCCAGTGTGGCGTCATGAGCGATGGTTATTCGTCCTTGATCGTGTCACCATCGACAAGCAACACGGGGAAACTGCTTGGATGTAGTAAATCGTTCGACAATATCCAATCTCATCGAATATGTCGGTCATTGGCGGACCACCGTAACAGAACGTGTCGATTCTGCTCGAAATCGGCGTCATTTACAACAAATAGGGTGAGACAACGATTATATTCTGCGCTTTTATTTTCCCTTGAAATTCTTTTACCTATCATTCTCATTTCACTTATTTCTATTCGCGAAAAATAGGAAAGAGGTTGATCATACCTGAAACTTTCGTTTCTTCGATTCGTTTATTTAAAATCTTTATTCGATCATATTCGTGTTATTCAGAATCCTCGTGTCTTAAATTTTCGTTTCTTTTATTTGCCCTTTGTGTTTTGTACCCTTATTTTATTTGGAACACATTTGTGTATTATTATTCAGCAATGACTACACTTTAAACGTTTGTTTTTTAGTTTCTTTCATTTAACTTTACAACTACGTATGTACATATGTGATTTCACTGAAACATCACATCTCGAGTTTCGATGTCGATAAAAATTATACAAATACATACTGTGATATTTGCGACAGATTTTCGTTTCTCGAGCTCAACTTAACCAATAGAATGTTCCGATATTACCAGATTCAGTTTCTGCTGTTGCATAATGAACAGCTAGTAGCAAGGGTGGGTCGTTTGGCGCGCGACTTGGAGTTAAAGGAAGCAGCTGTGAAAAGCGAAAGAATGGCGCAGGCGGTCTTGACAAAGAGATTGCAGGCTTACGAGACGTTCGTCGCGGATATGCTCAAACGTTTGAATCTCACGGGCACCATAAAGATCAAGGATAAAATGGGGAAAGAGGTGCTGATTTAATTTTTATCTTCCTCCATCTTTGTATCAAGTTTTCCATTGCTTTTATTTCGACCCGGATGATCGAATAATTAAATATGAAAATATAATGTATGAGAGAATGGTGACGGTGATTAGTTTGTGGCATTGTTACTCTCACTTTTACTTCGTTAAGTGATGGATCATCATCAATTAATTAATCAATATAATTTATTCGTTCATTAAAGAAAAAAGAGACTCGTTACTTTTATGATCAAAATAATGTGAAAATAATGGTGATTATTATCGGTTCAGATGATTGTACAAAAAGTAAAATCAAAAGACGAGGCAGAGGACAAGCCTCTCCCTGTTTTAGAAGTCTCGATGTTGAATCAATCTCCAGAATCGGCAACGAAGATAAATGAAACGAAGGAAGTTGCTCGCGCATCGGTAAAATCAGTCACGCGTGATAAATTAATACGAAAAATTCTAAGCAAAAATAATCGTCAAATAATTCCATGAATATGAAACAATAATTTTCGCAGAATCTGTTCGATACAGTGAACAACGAAGAAGACAAGGTTTCCAAAGACTTTGCGGAAAGCGGATTCTCTGTGAAAATAGAGCCAGACGAGGGCGAGCAAAATTTCGAAGTTACTTTGTCAGTGGAGAAGGAACAGTCTCAGTTCGATAGGCGAATTTCGATGTCAGCGACGGGATTTAGGGAGGACGGTGAAAAACGGTGGTAAGAAACGAGCCGAGCCGGAGTTTGCAGATACAGCAGCGCGGTGTGTTTAATAATTCCAGCGATTCTTACGTAACGAAAGAGGCCACGGGCGCGATATGTCAACGAGTAGATAATACATGCGGTGTCACCTGTAAAATCGAACAGCCTAACTGTGTCGAGGGCAAGCCGGAAGACGCGGTGAACATGGTGCACGGCGATAAGAAAACGATGGGGAAGCTCGATCCGGTGATAAATCTCGACTCACCGAAATGTTGCTGCGACTGTCATTCGAAAACGTGCAGTTCGATCAAGAAGTTCGACAACGATGGCGTGAATGGTAAGTAATAAGTAGGCTGCGTTAGCAAAATATTTTAAAAATGGGAAAATTGCACACAATTCAAATGATGTTGAAAAATGTATAAAACGTCAATCAATTTTCTAGATTTTGCTTCTTTCAATTAATGTACATTATAAGGAGTATACAGTTTTATTGAGATTGCCAATAGAGATTGTTTGACCGAAGATTCAAATTTTCATCGGTGCAATTGAAAAGGGAAAGGATAATACATTTTGAACATTTTACGTATTTTTCAATATTGCGTGAGTTTTGTGCAACTTTCGTAATGAAATTGTACAATTCGAACTCCTTCTTTCTAGAATGGGTTCTCCAATGCGAATGTGACCTGGAGGTTGCGGATCGAATGTATCAGATGATTGATAATTACGCGGAGCAACAGCGTGGCACGATGGAGGCGAAGAAGGATGGTTTGTCTGCGATTCTTATTAAGGGTAGAAACACGAAATTCGCTGTTATCAAGTAATTGACTTGTTATCTCAGAATCTTTCGAATCGTCGATAAATTCGACTTGTATACGTACCACAGTCCAAGACAAATAAGAGAATTCTCTTTAGAATTAATTTTCAACGAATTTCAAATTAGAGCTGTTGCGCCACAACGTGTGCGTCAACAAATTCCTAAAACAATTTTTCAGCGAATTTATCCCGACGCGCGAAAGAAAAAGTTACTCTATTGCGGGAAAAACAGACGTGAGTCAGAACTGTAAATACATGTTGCAGGTATTAACGCACAAAATCAAGCGGATTTCCAAGTACACGAAATCGATCGTTCGATTTGGCTGATGCTGTCGGTGTAAATAGCGAAAGAAATAGTTTAGCCTTAAAGGCAGTTATCATTAATTGTTACTCGCGTTTGCATCAAGTTACTCCGCATCTACTCCAGCTCCTTTTAATTTCTTTGTATTATACTTAACTTTCAATAAATCGATTCATAACAGAATCATGCAGTTTAGAACAAAAAAAATCTCTATAATTCACTTGGGTCCTTGGAAAACGTTTCCATACATTCTATACATACTTTACTTTACTGTTCTATAAATTATTTTAAGATAACGCGGTAGAAAAGTGCGATAAATAGACGAAGTGAAGTTAGACGAGATAACGATTCAAAGGTAGCTCTACTGTGATGTTCTACCGTAATGCGAAAGTATCGCCGATGAAAACGCGTTTCAAACGTGCTTCAGAATTATTTTCAAGCTTTCTTTCGTCTGAATCTTTTCAACGCGACAGAAAGACACGAGCGCGTGACGGAAATTAAAACATTTCAACGGGAGCGCGTGTACCGCTGCGTCGGAACGTTTGAAAAACTAACTAAATATAGAATAGGAGCGGTGCTATTGTTAGGTTCAACGCGTTTTCGTATCTCCGAGTTTCTCCTTCGACTTCGCCCTTGTGCCAGCCGTCATGGGGCTTGTCACAAATTTACGACGCCAGGAAATTCGCCAAACACACTATCGGACATTATTGTAATACGCGTTTTCGTATTTTCGACCGTGCAAGTTCCACGTAATTTTCTTTGGCATTGGCCAAATTGTCTTTATCTTTTATTCTCGACGACTGTCGTTATTATCGTAAATAATAATTGCCAATGTTCGTAATGAGATATTGAATAATAATTATTGGTGTAATGTTTTCGTTGGTTGGTTTAATTTCTTTTCGCAAGTTGGATTATTAAAAATTTAATGCGAAAAATTTATATAAACAGATCTTTGTTAACCAAATGTACCAATAATTACGAATTTTACTTTACATACTTTAATTTAATGTAGCGAGAGTGGTGTAATTTGTAGTACATGTCTTTAACAAATCAATAACAATTTATTATTTTAAATATAAAATATTTTACTAAATTATCTGAAATAATGGACGAATTTGTTGACCATATTATATAAGATCTACTGTACATCAATCCATTTATATCACAACTGAGATTGCCTGAATCACCGATGCCTGTACGATCGATCATATGTCCTGAGTAGAAAATTCTTTTGCCTATTAAACGGAATATCATTTTGAATATTTCACGCATATTTAAATTTTCTATAAATGTCCAAAAATTCAGTCTTCGAATAAACGTAAAATTCTCAATAATTCCCTTTTGAATAAAATTGCTCCAAACTTACTGATACAGAGCAAGCATTATCCACAAAGTATTCTACTTTTCGATGCGAATTGATCAATAAGCAACTACCAAACTGCTAAAAATTCTAATACCCAATTATATCAACTACTACTCACGATTTTCATCTCAACAAAAGCAAAAGAACCAATTCTACCTCGTTCGTTTATCTCTACGAAACACCGATTCTCCAAGGCCAGACTTGAACTCCATTTAACCGGCGAGTTTAACACTAGAACTACCAAAGTGGTCAAAATGACTAATTCATCATTTTCTTTTTAGATACATTACAAATGCAAAACAGTGTATTTTTACAGGTGTAAATGATTTTCTATAAAATGCATGAATAAAAGTTTGTTGTGTATTCTATTGCATTTTCTATTTTTCTCACTTTAATATCTCTGATAAAAATTCCATTAGCTTTAGTTCTTGGTAGTTCTAGGGTTAAATGGCGTTGTCCCGGGAAAGCCAGATAAACCAAAACCGATCCACCGCCGGCGATCCAGGAAGTTTACTGAAGCTCAAGTACCTGCCGGCGTTGCAAATCAGAGGAGACTCGGAGCGTCACACGGAAGTGACGATCGCGCATGCCCAAGAACAGAAACGAACCCACGTTTCGGACGGACCTCTCGCGCACGCGGTCTTTCGAAACGGTATTTTTAGAGAAGTGAGTCGCTGGCCGCAAGCGGCAACGGTAGTCAAGTGTCGCCGTTGACCCGAAGGAAATCGAATCCACCGAACGATCCACGATTCGGATGACCACCGGTGAGTGTTCAATCGTGATCATAACTTCTTTCAGAATCGCTCTGAAAGACTTCCGCTGTTTGTGTGAAACCGAATCGACCGCTTCGTCTGAACACCGAGTCTCGTTTTCCGCTTCGATTCTTCGAGTTTCGCAATTTCCTGCGACTTGCGCGCAACCGACGTTAAATCACGCTCGATAGATCGGAAGAGGAACGTCGGCCCGTTCTTATGGATCTAAATTTGGTTCGTGGGCTGAACCGCTCGGTACATCTATTTATGATGTATTTTACGGCGCCGGACTTGCGACTCGTGTTCGCGTTTGTTTCGGCTCGTGTTCTGCATGTGTTCTGTATGAAATTCCATCTCGGTTATCGGCGATTTATTGGCTTTTTTTCCATCGCGAATCAGAGTTGAAGAAACTGCGCAACGTGAATCGCGCGAACGCTACTTGATTTCTTCTTGATTCTTGCGGGAAACTTCTCAATGGGAATTCAACAATTGTGGATCACAGAGTTTTCGTTTCTGCGCGACAGTCGAAGACTCCTAATGATTTATCAACCTGTCGACAAGCTGATTTTTACTTAGGTAGAACATGAATATTAGAATTTTATACACGTATTTATGTTCTATTTACAATGATCTGTGAATATCAATTTACTTATCAAAATATATCACAGATTAATATTAATCATAATTAACATTAAACAAATAATAATATGCTTCACTCTAGTCTCTGTTTTCATTTGTTTTACAATATACACGTACTACAGTTGTAACAATTACAATATAATTTAATTAAGGGCATGAATAATCTTATTTATCTTGTCTGTTCTTAATTTATTATTGTATATAGTTAATGTATTGTATATAATATATTATTATATATGATTAACATATTACAAATGTACTAGTTCCAATATTAAAAAAAATCTTCATTTATTATTATATACAATTAATGTAATATGTTACAATGTAACTATGTTCTGGAGAATTGTACTGGCACGGTTGGGTTCTTTGTTATCGTTGCGTTGCGTTGGGAAATGCGCGGCGCTTTTCGATCGTAGATCGAGTTATATTTAAGTCATATTTACATCGCGTGTAGAGACTCGACGGCACGCTGATCGTAAAGCTTCGTTCGAGGATTCCCTACCCTGAAAGAGATGCCTTTGATCTCCGGCAGCAGAGAAGCAAAATTTTGTTCCCTTTCGTTCATTTGTTTTCTTATCGGAAACGATGAACCACCGTTTTTTTACCAAGTCTCGCGCCTTCTTCTCCTCGAGGGAGATTAACGCGGATCTGTCTTCTAAAAATACGAGTCCGACCCGGTCTGACTTTTTTCCCTTCCGTGCCAGCTCGCTCTACGGAGCTAATCGATAGTTAGCGCATTAGTGAGAATTGACAAACAAATTCGTTCGTCTTCGTATAACTTCGCGCGAAGTTCAATTGACGAAGTTGGAAAGAGACGTTTATAGAGGTGTTTTTGTTTCTTGATGAACACGGCGCAGCCAGAGAACCAGTGGCGTGTTCGTGGCGTCATTATTCTTCAACTTACGAATTGAGAAACATAGTCAGAATATCTTTTTTTTCTTCCAAGAATGAGATAAATTAATAAGGGAGAAATTCACTCTTTTGTATATAATGATAATACTTCAAAGTTCCGGTAATCATGGAATGAATACAAATTCTACGATGAATTTCAACTTCATTTAAAGATTCAGAATTTAGAATTTTAATTTTACTTGGTTTAGAATCCTCCAGCCTCTGTAATTCCGTAAAAATTCGAATTTCATAAAATTCTTCAATTAACTCGAATATTGTAATTCGAGTTTTAAATCTATTTTTTAAATCTATGAATCGATTAGCATCGATTCATTCAGAAATTAGATCTTCAAAATTTTAATTTAACGAAAAACTTAAAATTTAGAATGCACCGTCTGCTCGTTATACAGTAGTCTGTTATTATTATCATTAAACACGTATATACATTGTTATTTTTATTATTAAACACGTATATACACTGTTACTTTTATTATTAAACACGTATATACGTAAATTACAGTATACAAATAATTATACATATACAAATATATGTGATTGTAATTATATATTAATATATATTATAATTGCATATACGTATATTATAATTATAAATTAATGTACAAATAATTACATTTACGTATTGATATAATTACGAATATACGTAATATAATATTACATGTTACAATATGTGTAATCATATTAATAAATTAAACAATAAATTAAACCACGCTTTCAGATACTTCGAAACTCTCCAGCCAGATCGAACAAAATTCCCATAAATCGCGAACGTCAACGAAGAGATTAGCGCTCGCTAGTAGAGCAAGTGCAGTATGGGCGCGGCTGGCAGTAGTAACAGCACGCCATCCACGTCGGCATCGTTTAGGGGGCGAAGCGAGGGGACGTTCGTCTACGGGACAGAGGGATCCTGCTGTCCAGAATACGCGAACGAAAATATACGACAAAGGACGAGGACCAGCGCGTTCGACGTGGGTGAAGAACCTCGATCGCAGGTTAAATATAAAACGAATATTTATCGTTACAGCTAGCGGGCAAACGCTCGAGACAAGATCAGCCAACGAGAAAACACTCGGCACCGCCGTTTATATATCGGTTTTTATTTTAATTCCTCCGGAATCTTTCAGGGTCCAAGTCCTTACGCGACTTTCACGGGCGAAGAACGATGGTGTCAAAGACCGACAGCGCCCAGTTTGTCGAACTTGCGTTCTCGTGACTTGCGACGAGAGAGTTTGGTAAGCGAAGACTTTTCTCTTTGTTCCCTTAAGCGAACGCGAACGAACGACCGAGAGAAAATTAAGCTGCGTCGAGATGCTTCTCTTCGATGAGAATCGTAGAATGACCAGGGGAAATTTGCATTGGCACTGAGTTAAAATGGAAGAAATTTAAAATTTGTCGAACAATGTTTTCTTATTCCAAGTGTTCTCTCACCAATGAAGAAATGCACACACTTCCAGTATATGCCTGGTGCTTTCTTTTATTTCCAATGCTCATCTGTTTCATGACTCAACGTTCATCCCCGACTGTATGATTCACATAATCCGATTGTCTCAATGTGAAAGAAGATCCTCGAGATACAACGATGCTTCTTGCATCACTTGCTAATAAAATCAGACTGCTAGTCCGTAGCGAAAGTTAAAAGAATTGAATTGTTCGGAATTAATCCCCCTCTACCGGACGGGGGGATCTAGGCGTCCGAAGCTTTCTCGAAATTCAAACATTTGACAAAGTCTACGAAACGTAGTAGTGGCGATTTCGCAGAAATTCGGGGAAACGCGACAGAAAAACACGACAGTCTTTTGTCCGTCGACGACGTAGGTAGATAACGGCGAGAGAAATTTTCCGAGTCGCGTTCGCTCTTTTGTTCGGGGCGGGAAATCTGGCGAGCCTCCAAGAAGCTTCGTGGCACCTCGCGGATTTCGGGAGAACACGCTGAGTCACGGCCACTGTAGCTCCGCGAGTTCGCAGTCATCGATCGCGATCACGTGCCCCCGTGTCTCGAGCTTCTTCGGCGAACGCCTCTACCCCTCGTGCCAGTGCATTCTCGTAGATCGTTCGATGCGGATCGAGCTTGGCGCGAAGCTCGCCGACGATCGATCCTAAGGACACCAGTCCTCCACGACCGCAACGACTGCATGGATACGCGAATCTTCAAAGAGTTTCAGGATTTTTGCGAGACTCGACAAACACTGAGACTACGCACTTGATACTATCTCGGCGTTTGTTTGCTACTACGCGTAAGTTTTCAATGGAGAGTAGAATTCTGCTGTTTCTTTTGTTCGTGAATATGTTTTATATGATTTACTTGGAATGGTTTCAAAGATTGATAGCGTGTAGTAGGTATTGGAGTTCTGGTAAAAATTATTTACATTATTATTCCTCGATGTTATTTGATATAATTATTGTATATTGTTCTTTGTAATATTATTTCTCAACCTATTGGATTCTTAAAATGTCCGTGTTTTAACAGATCAATGACATCATAATTTGTGAAGTATTATAAATTATCGTAATATTGTAAATATTTATAATATTATATAAGATCTGCTGTGGTGTGGACAAATCTTGAAAATTTAACTGATACAGGTATAGAAATAATATTAAACTGTTGCAATTATTCATTATATTGGAGAACGTTGTTATTTAAAGGGATGATTTTTAAAATATGTTACAAAATATATATTAAGAGTAATATATTGCAAAATATATATTTTATAAGAGTAACATAATATATTATATTATAAAATATATATTTTAAAATATTTAAATATTATTAATATTATTAATATTATTAATATTTAAATATTATTAATATTTAAATATTATTAATATTATTATATTAATATTTGTATTATATATATATTTTATAAAATATCATATTTCAAAATACGTTATAAACCATATATTATTTCTTCTTTTTTCTTATCATTTCTTTGTTTCATTAAGGTCCAAGAAGAATTCTAGATTTGTTATTAAGTTTTCTCCGTCCACCAAAGAGGAAATTTCTAAATTCCTAAAATTTCCTAGAGAAAGTTTGACTCTGACTCCGAGTTTCTAAACGAAAGAGTTCATCGAAACCGGGGCTTCTAAAAATCTCGATTTCCCTCCCCCTTCGCCGATCAGAGCCCCCGTAGAACGCGGTGAAGAAAGAAAGCAACGCGAGACCCGAGACCCGTCCACGTAACCATTCCTTGAACCAGAATTCCGATCGTCGATCCTCTCGGTTCAATTAGCGCCTCTGAAATTAGTTCAATTTATTTATATTGCAGTTGACGTACGCCGCGCAGATGACAGGTTGGCAGACAGCCGAGGGGCATGGCCCTTCTTCGTTCGCTCAACAGAACCAGAAGGCTATGGAGGTGATTTCGCAGCTGGCTATGGCCAATCAGCAGCTAGCTACCGCGAACACCGCGACTCTCGCCAATTTAGAGGCGCTTTACATGGAACTGTCGAGAGAAAGGGAACTGAGGAGGCGAGTGGCATCGTCTGAAGAATCAATGCCGGACGAAGCCTTGAAGAAAAGACTGACGACGAACGATGAGAGAAGAGAGGAAGAGGAGGAGGAAGGAGAAAAAGTAGAAGAAGACGAAGAGAGGCAAAGAATGGAGTTTAGGATCGAGAGATTGGAAAACGGTTTGAGGAAGGTTCGATCGAGGATAGAGAGGCTAGAGAAGACGAACCAAGGAGAGGACGAACGACAGAGTTCGACGAGTGTCTGTGATTCGAAGGGGATCCGAGACGCAGATCGTCGGTGGACGATCGACGATCCGTGTGATAGGCTCGCGAGCAGCGCCGGTGTACCTGAACGAGAATTCAAAGGGCAGACGACGATGGACGAGGCTCGAGCAAAGACTGTTTCTAGAGTAAGCTTCGTAAACGTCGAGGGCTCCAGGTGGAACGTGGAGGGCCGACACGTGGCAAATTTGCATTTAGAGAAGTCGAGTGAAGGTAGAATAGAGGATGAAACGAAGGAAAGTTTGGATGGGAAAGAAGCGGTGAGATTGTTGAAGGAAGTTGAGAGATTGAAAGCCGAGCGATCCGAGTATCAACGTGAGAACGAGAGGCTAGCGAAAGAGTTGGTGGAGGAGAAGGCGATGGTGAGGAAACTGAGGAAAGATTGCGAAGTGAGTTTGTGCATCCTGTATCCTTCTTGTAATTTATGTCTTATGCATCTTATTAATTGGAAATTAATAGACAGATCTTGACGGATTCTTGAAACAATTTTTCAAGGGAATAAAATTCCTTTAAAAGCTGAAATTTTGCGCAAAATTTTAAGTTTGGATTTCAAACTCAAAATTGTCTTGATATTGGAAAATATAGTTACAGAGACACTGTATAATAAATATAGTAAGATAGTAATCGCAGTTATATCGAAAAATTTTGATTTCCTAGGAATCACAATCGCGACACGAGGAGGCGGAGTCGAGTTTGAAAGAGCGGAGAGAGGAATACGAAAAGTTGATGGCAAAGTTCGACGTTGCGACGAAGGAAACGGAGAGATTGTTGAAGGAAATAGACGAGTTCAACGCGTTGCAGAACACTGCCGAAGCAAAGATCTCCAGTCTCGAGCAAGATTTGCAAAAGTCGTTGTTGGAAAAGGAGGAGATCATAAACACCGAGAGCCAGAAGACTTTGGAATTAAAGGCGCAGCTGTCGGAGGAGGTATCCGATAAGAAGAAGCAGATAAAGGCCCTCGAAGACGCTTTGGACGAGATTCAAAGACTGAAGGAGACTATCAAGACTGAGAGGAAAAGTACAGATGTCGATGACTTGAAAGAAGACGTTGGTACGTTCGGTATCGTTTAAACCAATTATTGGCGTACGTATGCTGATTGAAAAAGAATCGATAAATTCTAAAAGTTCTAAAAATCCAGCATTCCGAAGTTCCAAAGTTTCAAAGTTTCAACGTTCCAATGTTTCCAAGTATCAGAGTTTCTAATTTCCAAATTTCCAAATTTTTAAATTTCTAAATTTTCAAATTTTTAAATTTCTAAAGTTCCAAATTTTTAAATTTCTAAATGTCCAAAGTTCGAAACTTCAAAAATTCCAAAATTCGAGAAAATAAGAATTGAGGGTTTCTAAAATTTAAATAAAAAATCAGAAGGTATTTATATTTGTTTATCGTTTCGTTTCGAGCAGATGCGATCGAATCGACAGACGATCCACAAGGAAGCCCGCCTGCCGATCGCACGTCGGGGAACATCGAGGAATTCAAGAAGGAATTAATCCTGAAGAGAGAGGCGAGGCAAAGAGCGATAGCGGCGGTTTCGTCGGAAATGGAGCGACTTAGACGGGAATTAGACGCGGAGAAGGAGGCTCACTCGGAAACTTCGAGGATGTTGGAGCTTCTGAGGTCTGCGCAGAACGACGCTCGAGCACGAACAAACACGGCTGACGACAGCTTGAAGAAGACTAGAGAGAAAGATCAGAAACCAAACGAACACGAGTTGGCCACGCAACGTTTGGAGGCTCAACGACTAACGAGCGTTTTGAAGGTAAATCTTTCGAACGTTTTTCTACAAATTTCTATTTTCAGTAAATCAAAATCTACATACCAGATCACTTTCGACGAGCCTGAAAATTTTAGAAGATTATTTTCGAATTTCTACAGAATGTTAATAAGAAAAATCGTTTCTGCAAAAATTTGACAAAAGTAAATTTATAAGTATCGTTAATATTAACAAAAATTATTTCCAAATCCACTAGTTGAAAAATCCAGCAAACTTGATGCAATTGAAATTAAAAAGATTCCGTAAGCAGCCTTACTTGCGTTATTGTTGAAAAACAGAGTCCAAAATGTAACAATTTCAGATATCCGACGAGCTGAGGAACAACATCCGCATTCAAATGGACAAGGTGGACGATCTTCGGTATAGTTTGGAGGTTGAACCGGATCAGCATCGGTACCGCATTCGTTGCTTGTCGGACGTGACCAACCGGACCCGAGAGGCCGTTTACTTCAGAGAACGTGCTACCAACGAGCTGAAGGACCATCTAGCGCAGATTCTGGCGCGACTTGGTGACAGGAGCTTCCTAGAAGCGAAGGACGGGGTTAGCCTGGAGTGCGAACGTCAGCTGGAGAATATCAATAGCCTGAAGAGCCTCTACAACGAGAGGCTGAAAGTGCTGAACGAAGTGAGGGAGACGGCGGCCAGAGAGCTAGCGGAGGCCAGGGTGAGACTGGATCACTCGTTGAAAAAATGCGAATGCCTGGAGGATGATCTAAAGAAGGCCGACGAGAAGGTCATTGAGCGTAAATCTTATTTTATTTAAAAAAATTATGTATATACATGCTTATTTATTTATGTATTTATTTTATGTAACACGTACATGGGACCTGTTCTCGTTCTCGAAAAATTTTCCAAACTCGTTTCTCGTTTTCCAGTTTTCAAACTTTTCCAAGTCTCGATTTCCTGAAATAATTTGCTAGTCAGTTGGTATTCTCTATGATAAATATTTGGTGGACTAACCTATACATGGGTATCCCGTTATTAGGATACTATAGAGATACTGTCACAGATCGATGCCAGATCGTGTTTTTTTCACGTGTTTGTTTCAAATACGTACCTTTTTCCCTTCACTTGGGACAGGCCGACGCGCAGTATACGGAGATAACGAATTTGGAATCTCAACTGGGACTCACCAAAGCGGACTGCAGAGATCTGCAGAATCAGATGTCGCTGATCAATAGCCTGTTTACACAGATGCTGTTGGGTGCCACCTCTGCCGACATGGACCTCGATCGATTGACTCAGTTACTTCAGGTATTAGAAAATTTTGTTCTACGACGAAAGCGAGGGTGCAAAGTCAACAATGATACATCGACGCCGTTCGCGACGATGTTTTAACAGGAGAATCACGACTTGATATGCGACATGGCGAGGGAGGAAGGCACCGAAGCCGCTGCGCTTCCCAAGCTTCTTCTCGACCTGATCGAGCAGGTCGAGGGCAGTAAAACGTCACAGAAACACGGCGACGGGGGAAACGGAACCGAGGTTGAAACAGAGAAGAAGGAAGACGACTTACAGCAGGAGGACATAGCTCACAACCTGCCTAAAGTAAGATTAGTAAAAGTAAATTCAACGTTTAACGTCGTTTCTCGTTGTTTACCAAACGGATATTTCCTTATTTTTTCGTTCTAGGTCTGGCGTGTCTTGTTGGAGTTGCTCAGTTGTCACGCGGAATGTGCTCCGTCCGCTTCAGCGGCATCCTCCTCGGACCCAAACATCTGTTACAAATCGATCGATACGCCAGCCGGCCCCAGATTGGTGATCTCGGTCAGCAAAACGTACATCCGCCTGAAAGAGTTGATATTAGAAAAGAAACACTTGGAGAAGGAGATGAATCGGATGAAACAGTTGAACGTCCATTTGGAGTGTAAACTTGGCGAACAGGTAGAAAACATAGTTCATTCTCATATCATTGCAAATTATATTATATATTTAATATTATATATATATTATAATATTATATACATGTTAAATATATTATATATTATATTATTATATTATATATTAAACATATTATATTATTATAATATAATAATATTATTATATTATTATATTATATATTAAATATATATTATATATTTAAATTCGTTCTTTAATATGTATTTATTTTATATTATTTTATATTTATTTACTTATATATATATATATATTTTTTTTTCATTCTTTAATATATATTTATTTTATATCATTTTACATTTATTTATTTTATATATATATATATATATATATAATATATTTAAATTAATTCTTTAATATATATTTATTTTATATTATTTTATATTTATTTATTTTATATATATATAATATATTTAAATTAATTCTTTAATATATATTTATTCTATATTTATTTACTTTTATATATATATTATATATTTAAATTCATTCTCAATTTATTTCCTTTCCGTTTATTTCATTCGTTTCGTTTTTGAAAGAGAGCGCGCGTATTTCCAGGAGAAGCGACTGTCAGCAGTGTCAGTGGAATTGAGTAAAACGTGGACGATAGTCGATCGAATGCAGGCCCAGCATCATCAGCTGCACACGCACGAGAAGATCCTGCGATACGAGCTGCAGCAGAAGCGGAAAATGTTGCAGGAGCTGAAACAAGAATTGGAGTACTGTCGCGAGAAGTGGGAGTCCGCCAGGCAGAAGAACACGAACACGGAATTGGAGTGGAGGAGCTTGAGAAGAGAGTTCGCTGCTAGGAAAGCTCTCGCTTCTCACGATTCTTTCAATAACAGGTAGATCGATGTTTTCCGACTGTTGATCTTCGTGTTCTCTAAAACTTTTGTTCATCTTTCAATACAGCGCGGAAAGCGGATTCAGCGACGAACGAGGTGATGATACCGACGAGGAAGACGACGCCATGGACGACAGAATTAGATTAGGCCTGCGCAGAAGGTCGCGAAAGGTTACTATCTATTCGATTGTTTTTGGTATTGTTCCATATCATAAATATTATTCCGTATTATAATGTAATTTAATTTATAATGATATGATTTTATAACACATGTATATTGTGTTTTAACTTTTTTCCTTTTTATTAAGCTATAAAATCCGCTGCTGGGTTATTAGCTGTACAGATTGCTTTCTGTCCAGATTAGCTGTTCAGATCGCTAACTGTACAGACATGCTTTCTGTCTTAAAGGATAACACGGATATACAACTATGATACATATTTTCTGTTTACATACTTATAATTAGAGCCGAAGGATATTGTTAAATTATTTATAGTCATTGCTAAGTACTCGATACAAATTAATTATAAATGTCAACTGTGGTTTTTAAGAAATTGTGTGAATACAAGTAGTATATGGTTTGCTCAAAATGTGGTATTATTCCATAACATAAAAATATTTTTATATTTATTTATTATATTATTTATAATCAATACATTAATATGATACGATATTATATTTTATATATACAAATATTATACGTTATAAATTTGTTCAGGAGAGTCCTCGAGCACCAACGCCGGACACAGAATCAGAACAGCCAACCGACACGGAGCTATCCGAGCCAAAGACAGGCTCCTCAGCAACGTTAGAGCAACGAACCCCTACTCCAGAGACTGAAGCAGAACTAGATGAGACAGAAGTCGCGGACGCGGTTCTAAACACTGAATCCACGAACGTAGCAGAATCACCAGTAACAACCATTACTTACATTTCTCTCTTTTTACGAACTGCTCTCAACTTCTCTCACTTCGATTGTTTTGTATTACAAGTCGTTCAATTAATTAATTAATTCGTAATTTTTCGTTGGTAATTCGATTGATCTAGAACGTGAAATTCACTCAAGTAAAATCTTATGTTCATCATCATACCGTAAATTTGCAATTTATTTCAAATTTTATAGTTCCAGTGTGAAAAACTGAATGCTAACAATCACACAGATTCCTCGACACTAACCTCTCTCTCTTAACAGTTGCTTCCAGAAAGTCCACAAGAATCGTTAAATCCGCTGGACCAGGCTCTGACAAATGTTATCCAGGATCTCATTAGCATCGATAGCACTATAAACGTCACCTCAACAGCCTTCTCATCGTCAACCGACGAGAATATCATGGAAAATGTCACGAATGAAGACAACATGGTATCAATCATCGAACCTTGGTCTACGACGCCTCTGCAATCTCAGAAAACCACCACGGAGGTACTCGACGATACTTCTACTCTCGATCCTCCGACAATGCAGACCTGTACCTCGTCGACCGTCAGAGCGGAGGGAGCTCGAAGTAGAAACGAAACGGACGGTGAGAAAGCAAAGAACGAGGACACCTCGATATTGTCCACGTCCTATGTACCCAGTGTGATCAGCGTAGCAAACGCGCAGCCTGTGTTCTCTATCGGACCCTTCCCTCCGTCCAGCGTGGCACCTACGATCGTGAAAAACGTCCAATTCAGAGACCCTCTGATCGTCGGCCCGTCTAATCGATTTTTTGCTCCAGTTTTCGGACAAATGTCTTCTCCCTCGCCCTTCGTCTCCTCGACGTGCCAAGACGCGGCGGAGTGCAGAGAAAAACCCGGAGCCAACAGATCGTTGGAGAACATCGTGGATTCGGACAACGTCTCCGTGGACTCTACATCGAGCTTGGAGACTGTCAAAGAGATTGCCACCGCTGACATGGGCTCGTCCAGTGACACTGGAAAACTCTCTGACTCTGCGAGCCTGGCTGAAGCTGGCGGGTCGGCGAAGACCCAGAATGAGAGAATGGTTTCCACCGTGAAAGGCAGAACGCCCGAGGAAGCTTTAGCCGCTAGAGAAGACAGGCTGAAGAGGTTGGAGGAACAGGCGAAATGGTTGATGAACAAAATGAACGCGACCAACAGAAGGGGTTCTGCATTGAGCACTAGGCTAGAGGAGCTTCACGAGGTCTACGGGGAACCGCCTGTTCCTCCTCCTATGCCCGATGTCCTGCCTAGTCGAAGATTGAGGACTGCTTTGTCGGATCTACCTCGTCAGGTACGGATTACGACTTACGGAATTACGTTCCTTTCAAAGTTTCGTTTTGTCGAGTCACGTCGGTGGTGAGTGGCTCTTGTAAATCTCTTGGCATTTGACGGAATGTTGTATAAATAGTTTCTCTTCTTCGCGTGACGAGAATCTTTTAAAAGTAACCGTGATGTGGTGAATTTGATATTTACGTTGTATAAGTTTGTACAACGGCAGCTTTTGCTTTTTGTTGATTTTTTTTTTTTTTTTTTTTTTTTGTTGGTTTGCACATACTTGGTGTTTCGTTTATTCCTTTCTAAAAGTTTATTTTAATTTCATATATCGAACGAATTGAACATATGTGAATCTCCTCACTTTAGACATTTTGCCTCAGACTTTTATTCTTCGCCTATTTCTTCCTTGCTGCTTTTATGCTTTTAATGTATCAATTTTTATTTTTATGCCTTAATATATCAATATTTTTTAACAATCTGGAAGATATTTAATTTAACGTATCGAAATATTTTATTATTTCTCAGTATCAGTCATCCTATGTTCACCACAATATATTTGATCTCATTTGTTTTTACAATTCTTATTATTTATAAATATATTGTTATTCATGAATTATTATATTTATATCATATTTATTATTTATAATTATTTTTGTATTCAACAGTTTTACTGATACGATATAATTGCCGAATGACGTGTTACTCTTCAGGTACCTGAATCATCGATCACCGAGGATGCCAAAAATACCGAGAAGCTCGACTCAAGTGGCGATTCCAACCAACCATCACCCGATAACGCATCTTGAGACGTCTGCCACTTTATTCCCGTCGTGTACATGAAAACGTGAACAAAACACGGGCAACTCGTGTGTACGAAACGTGCCGGCGCTCGCTTCCACGAGAAATTATATAATTCTAGAATGAGTCCGAGCTCTCTTTGCGATTCGTTCCGAACAAATCGATGAATCGATTCTTTCGTTCTTTTTTCTTTTGTCGCGAATCAAACGTCTCGTCTCCACTTAAAATAATTAAATCTACGTTTCCCTCTCGTAAATGTACGAAAGACTTTGAAACATGCCTGGCTGTGATTCAAAGCCATTGATACGAGTATTTTCTCTACTAAACGAGTGTTCTTCCTTTTCTTTTCTTCCATTCTTGAACAATTTCAATTGTCGGTGTATCTGTCGATGTGAGTAAACGTCTCGTTGTTCCTAACAAGAGAATCTCTATGTGATCGCTCTCGAATCCGTTCCTGTTTTGTACCTTCTACGAACTGTACCTACTAATTTCGCCGTATGAATAAAAATTCTACAAAAAGGCCGAGTCATTTTCTTCACTCTTCTATAAGTAAGCCTATTTTTCGTTCTTTCGAGTTGGATTTCTTTTATTGAAACAGAATCGTGCAGAGTTCGAAACAATATAGACAAATGTAGCTTTTCATTTTATAATTCTTCCGTAAATCATTTATAATTTATCACGAAATTTGTTTAAATAATTCTCTGCAATGTCGGGAAAATCGTAAAAATATGGCAGGTTTACTAAAAATTACTTTGTTAGTTATTGTCACTTTAATATCACAAGGGTGAAAAAAATAGAGGTTAATAATACGTACATTAATCACATTTGTGTAGACTCGACAAAATTCGATGTTCGAGCAGCTGTTTGTAGTGTTAGGAGAAATATAGAAATACTGCCAATTACCTAAAAATTATTTTGTTAATTGTTATCCCAAGGATGAATAAATAACGATTAATAATAATAATGAAAGATCAAAGAAAATTCCAATTAATTAAAATACGTCTTTTTATAAAACATAATGATATATTGTAAATCAAGATACTTTTGATTGAAAAAAAGCACCACGCATCGGCAACAATATCAAGTCGGCAATAATAAACCGTCTGAAACAGCAAAAAATACGAATGAGTTTGTCAAAGCAATTCTAACGAGGGTGTTTCGTTGATGGGTTTATTTTTAGTTTATTAACAGTTCTCACAGTGTAAAACACTTCTGATGTTTCTTCCGTTCGCATACTTGAGTCACTACGCTATATGTATACGATAAGATATGTATAATATTCACAAGACTCCTGGCACTCTGTAGATATAATAAAATTCGTACAAAATCGTTTGTATAACAAAAAAGAAAAAAAAGAGAGAAAGAGAGAGAGAGAGAGAGAGAAATAGCTCTAGGTACGCTAAATTGTCAATTTTTCCACGCACTCGTTCGATCTCTCGTCGAACGGCGGCGTGACGATAAAAGGCACCGGACTGGATAATACATTTTATAAAAACTAGAGAGATTCGGACAAGTATGTATATATATAATCTAGAAATATTTTCTCAAACTATATTTTTACGCTTCTCTTTACAATACAGTTCCTCGCGAAACGCAGCCACTCGATTCGCTCAGTTCGCTCGCACGCGCGCACACAGTCACATACACTTTCGCGAAATGTGATTATCTAACTGTTGATCAATAATTACGTTAACGTGATCTATCTACACGTCGTTACGTTCTAACATTGGCCGTAGTAGTTTGTAACTGATTAATCTCATTAGCAAGAACTCGCGTTGTCGCCATCGCGGAGAACCATCGTCATTTTTGTGAAACACAATAATGTTGGCACATTGAAAAGACTCGGTCGTACAAAAATACGGTGGAAGGGATGCTCTGGAAGAAATATCTCTCGTCATCGATCCATTTCTACGGGTGAAATTTATTTTGCGCGACAGACAGAAGATCCGAGAAACGTATCTCGCACGTAAGCGTAACATCGATAATCCTACACGTATGTATAAATATATAAATTTCGCTCGAGAGAATTTTGAACACGATTCTCCGAAAATAATAAATTACTCTTTGTAGTTTGTATTTGAGCTTAGCTCCTCTGTTAAGGCACCCCGAGGTGTTCCCTCGATTTTTGTACAAAATACATCGCTAACACAGTTCTAGAAAAAACGCAGCACAATAGAAAAAAAAAACATTGCTGAACTCTCGCCGTAATACATATTTTTTCTTCGATTGCAATCGTTCACTCAAACATCGAGGATGTCGCCCATTATCCGAGCTCGTGATCTTAATTAATTTCAACGATCGTCGTTGTACGCTCAACAAGTACAAAAGGCACGAAGAATAAAAAAAAAAAAAAAAAGTAAAGAAAGATCATCTCTGATCTCTCTTTTATTGATCTAAAAATATAAAACGTGAATTCCGATGAATTCTTCGTCATTCTCCGAGAATGTCCCTTATCAAACGACAGTATCAAAAAAAAGTTACGATAGAAAATATATATTCATCTATATGTATATATATATTTATTATCGCCAACAGAGCGTGTTCACTGAATCATCTGTAGGTATCTGTTCTCCTCGAGCAACGAGCTCAACGAGGAGGTCATGTCGTTCACCACCATGTTGGCGCTGGATGGCAAAGGCTGTGGCAGTGACATGGGGTGAGTGGAACTGGATACGTTCGTTTCGTGAGTCTGCGCGTTGCCAGACCAGTTTCGACACTGTTGCACGTACTCCAGTGTCCTTCTGTACGAATCTTGCCTCATACCCTGAGGAGGCTTCATCGGCGATCCCTGCTGAGACTGACTGATGTCTCTGCACTGAATCTCCGGCAAAGCAGCGCCCGTTTGCTCGTGGTAACACTGATCTCCACCGTAACCCCACTGGCAGCTGCAACTGTATTGCTGATGGTTCGGAAGATTCCCTCGAGCCTGACAACCGTGCGTGCAAGTATGCTGCTGCTGTTGCATCCTACAGTTGGCCTGCTGAACGGTGCACAACTGCGGTGACGTCCTCTTGGGTAAAGTCGAGTCGTTCACTGATCTGTGGCCACCGCCGTTCGGATGAGTGCAGTTGGTCATTTGCAGGCACGGAGTGTTTTGCTGCTGCGTCTGTTGCTGACAACCTTGGAGACTGGTCAAATTGGCGACAGGCTTGGCCTGATTGTTCATATTCAGTTGAGAACAGTGCGGTGACATCTGAGCACACTGATTAGGCACGGTAGTTTGCTGAGCTGGATGAATGTTTGGCACCTGGCCGTTGGGCGTTACCATTGGCCTGGAACACTGACTGGCTACTTGACCACACTGTGGATTAGGATGACTCATGGTCGTCTGACTGGGAATGGCTGGCTGTTGAGCACAATGCGGAGACAGTGGCTGACAATTTCCAGCAGAACGCATCTGCACGCACTGCGGTTGATTCATAGAGCCGTGATTCGGTGGTGCACAAGGGGGACTCGCGTGATGGTTCACTTGGCTACTTGGAGTTCCCGTGCAGTTCGCGTTCATCTGCCCCTGACAGTTGTAGCCTGGGTAGTAGCTGTGATGCATGTGACTTTGGGGACAGTTCCTGGTCAGTTGAGCTGAATTCTGAGGAAGATTCTGCGGAGGATGTTGAGGCGCGAGGGCACCAGCCGCCGGCGATGTTAGAGGCTGATCGCTGATGTGGCTGGGAGCGTAGTGAGAACCTGGCGACATCACTTGACCCGCTGCCGGACTGAGCACCTGTCCACCGTTTGACTGAGACGGATAAGTAGGTGGAGGACAGTACTGTGAATTAGATTGCGGGGGTCTGGAGCTGGGACATTGGTTGTAAGGAGACGGCGAGGTATTTTGATACTTGGTGCAGGATGGTTGAGCTGGTTGCGACGGTGGATAGCAGGTCTGCTGGTGAGATTGGTTGTAGTTGCAAGTAGGCTGCATCTGACGCTGATAGTGCAGGGGATTTGTGCAAATCGGCGACTGGCAAATCGGCAGGGGACTGCTGCGACAGTTGACTTGGGTTCCTCCTGCTTGAACCTGGATAAATTAAAAAATTAATTCATTTGTCTATTCGTTTCTTCGAGCACCATTTCTGCGTACGATCGATTTAATTACCTGGTTCAAGTACTGCATCATCTCATCGGGAATGACCAGCTTATTCTCTACCATTTCACCTTCACCAACCTCGTCTAGAATGACTTCCTGATTGGGATGATGTTCCGGAAGCTGAGCTGATCTTGGCCTGGGTGGTACAGGCGGTGAATTCCTTTGCGTTTGGTGACCTCTGGTAGGTTCCGACATGCGGCGGTCGCCGGATGGTTGCGTGCAATGGCCGCTCGGGCCGCTCCAATCTCCTGGCATACCTTGGATACCCTAAATTCATCGTTACGTTACATTAAATATTCCACGTACACTATTAACTTCAATATCTTCGTACAAAAACGAAATAATATTATAAATTATTGTTCGATTTGCTTTACACTAATGTAAAAAACCTTTGAGATCTTTCTTCTTTAAGAAACTGAAACTTTTATGCGGTAGCAAAAATATTTGAAGATTTTTGAAAATTTTATATTCGTCTATCAACCTGAAGAGACATGTTCTGCGTTTGAACGACAAGGTTGCTGGTCGAGTAAGGTCCCTGTAGGTGACTCGGTGGGTTCATTCTACCGGAAGTGGTGCTCATTTGACTGCTTCTCCTCGACGTTCCTGGACTGATTGGATCGTAGAAGCTGCCAGGCCCGGTCTGGCCTATTCTGACAGCGCTGACACCGCTGGCTTGGCTGCTTCGTCTGCTACCAAAGTCCGTGGACTTCATACTACCGTAATAGGTGCTGACCGTGCTGTTGCTGTCCCTTCGTGGCTCGTTGAGAGGTTGCAGCCTGAGTTGCAAGTCGGAAAGACTCGTTTGACGGGCGGGACCGCCACCCTCCATCTTCAGGTCAGTGATCCTCCTGTTCAGGTCGCCGATGTTACCCTGTGGACCCATGCCACGTGTCCCCCTCATACCGGACACGCTTACGGGCAGGTTTGGCATGCCCTTTGCGTTCAGTCTGCCTTTCAGGCGGTTCCTCGAAGCGGGGGGAGGAGGCTGCTGCTGCTGCTGCGACTCCATTCCGCCAACCTGTCGCGTTATAATTGCAGATTGATCACTTCTCATTTAACACTCGTCACTGCAAACTTTTGCATCTTGAGATAATAATGCAGACTTTGAAAGGTTCTGTGTTTTTTTTTTTTTTTTAAATCTTAATCTTCTGGATATTATTTCTAGTATTTTCTATAGAATTCTGTTACAATCGTATTGAAAAATTTTCCTTTAGTTTGTTGTATAAATATTAAAATTAATATATAAATGTATAAAATTAATATATTATATATTATATTAATATATAAAAATATAAAAATGTACAATATATAACATTAATATATAAGTATATAAATATTAAAATTATACAGCGTTGGGTGAAAGAAAATTTATGATAGGAATATACTACAAGTATCGATCTAATATATTTTTGATCACACTAATAAAACCGCTATATTCTCAAGAACATTTTACATTACGTTCATTCATCACTATGGCGTTGTATCCTTCGCTCATACTCAGAACAGCAAGTTAATCTCAATTATCAAAAGACTCACCATGGCACGAAGAGCAACCGGCAGATCGGCGATATCCAGGTCGTCAGGTTCCTCGTCCCAAGGTTCCTCGGCCAAGGCCACGCCATCACCCGTCAACGCGCTGACACCAGCGACTTCATCGTTGCAACCACCGACTAACGGGCTACCCTGTTGCTGCATCATACTAGGTGGACTGTTCGCTTCGCTCTCGGACTTCACGCTTGGGCTCGACAAACTCGGTGTCTTCGGATGAAGATCCTCGCTTCTGCTTGGACTGTGGCCGCCTGCGCCAGCTTCGTCGCTTCCTCCGCCGTCTCCGCCGCCTCCTTTGTGTTTCTTATTGGCATAAAATTCCGCACCGTGGACAGTTTTCACGTGTTTCCTCAGAGAGGATGGATCGGTGTACCTCTTCGTGCAGCCTGGCGCCTTGCAGACGTAGGGTTTCTGAAAATTCATTGGATCGAGGCTTAATTTGCGTTAGCTTTAAATTAAAGTTCAGCGTAACATTGACGGGACAATGTGAAGGGATGAGGCTTTAAGTTTTGAATTTAGAGACTACCTCGTTGGAATGAGTCCTGTTTTGGTGCTTCGCCCGATCGCTGGCGTTGCTGAAGGCCTTGCTGCAACCGGGATACTCGCAAGTGTATGGCTTTTCCCCAGTATGGGACCTCAGATGCGTCTTCAGGTTCTCCAGGCGCGAGTACGCCTTGAAACATCCCTCGAACTGTAATTAAAAAAAAAATCAGAGCGTAAGTAACGTATATCTAACTACAATATTGGACGACAACGTGGCGAGTGTACTCACGGTACACTTGTGAGGCTTTTCACCAGTGTGCCTTCTCATGTGTACCACCAGCATGTACTGAGCTTTGAACGGTTTTTTCCCCCTCGAACACTCCTCCCAACCACAGATGAAGCTCTTCTTGTTCGCGTGTATGTGGTCGTTGTTAATATGTTTAACAAGATCATCCTGGAAATAATCAAAGTATGAAATATTAACTTCAATGGCTTTTCTTTTTATATCAAACTAACCTTCCAACTATTCTTTCCCTTTTACGAAACTAATAGACCAATTGATTCACTAAATATGTAACATTTAAACTAGGCGTTTATCTTTCAGATTTTGTCAAATGCTCAACCGAGCAAAAATATTAATTTCAATGACTGTTTCATGTTAAATCAGTCCTCGGATCTTCCTACGAAACTGACAGATCAGTTAATTTACTAAATACGTAAGATTGAAATTAGGCGTTGATTTGTTCGTTAAGATTTTAATCGTTAAATTCTCACCTGGGTAGGAAATTCAAGGCCGCAGTCTCTCCAGTGGCAATTCGTTTCGATAAAGTCGCCAGGCTCGTCTCGAAGGTCTTCGCTGGGACTGAGTCCTTGGGGGTGAGTGGGTGGCGCAGTGGTGGTGGTGGCGTTCGTGGTCGTCGTGGCAGGCTCCCTCTTCACCTTCGTCGAAGCTCTCCTCGAAGACGTGTCTGCCTCAGCCGTCACCGACCTGGTCGACGACTCCGACGCCTTTCTGCACGACTCTGCACTCTGCAAATTGCGATTACCGATTCCAATTGAATGTCCCATTCTGACAAATTGCTATAATCCTCTGTCAATCTCGATTAATTAAGTTTCGCTCGATTTCATCCAGGCGCTAAGTGCACGTTTTCTCAGTTTCAATCGAACTCGCCACGTCGAGTGAACTGTAATTTCTTACGTTAAGGGTCCAAAAAGGACTCGAGCACCTGCTCAAAAGTTTGGACTCCTTGCTCTTTTTTTTTTTTTTTTTTTTTTTTTTAGATAAAATAAACTCTCGGAGAAATAAGAATATCATACGATTGTACACTTTGATTTTTAGATTGATCAAAATTTCAATCGCGAAGGAGATAATTTCACCTCGACTTGAATTGAAAGTCGTCGTTCCTTTTCTAGGGGAGTGTGAAGCGAGAGTTGCAGTAGCGAGTACTCGAGGATATCGGATGATACACAGACAGCGGATGTTAATTCGATCGCCGGCAGGAATTCAGAAGGTTCGTATCGGCGATCTTCTGACACTAGGCCAGCGATTTTCTGATACAAACGCCGACGTTTCAGGATAGCTCAGGCGAGGGAAGCTCGCCTCGTGACATACGATCTGCACGCGATCTCGCAATTATCGCGTACCGTACAGCCCTACACACCCGACCGATCGTACGTGGTCGTTCCTTGCCCTCGTAAACCGATGGTTGTTTCGCCTCCGCGTTATGATACAGACGTATATCTCGGAATATCTCCGCCCACATTCTCCTTTCTGCCTTGCGTTCAATTGCAAGTAAAAATGGAGATGCTGGTTTTTGAAGGGATTGAGCATTGAATAATATGGTGGGTATATAATTGTTTGAGAAGTGGATGGATATAGTTGATGAAAGAAGGAGTTTCGAAGGTTCCTGAAATTATATCTTCTTTAAAATAGATATATTCATCCCTCTGGATCACTTTATACATCGTCAAAAACATCTGACAAATTTCTCCTTCATATCTTTCATTTTCGACGAATATTGCCATTTCTGTACTTTAATTTGTGTGTTATTTCAAAACTGAAAAGTTTCTTCTCTATACTTTCGAAGGTTTCGGAAAAATTATACTTTCTTTTTTTAAATAGGTATCTTCGTCCCTTTCAGATCAATTTAACACTGACGAATTTTTCTCTTACATCTTATATTTATTTACTTCTTCCAAACTGTACAATTTAAAATTGAGGATTCTAATTTTTACATCTCGTGTTTGTTTGCTTATTCTCAGTAAGTATTTGTGTCCTACAAAAGATTCTACAGATTCGAGATTATTGGCTTAGTATGCGCCACCACTGCTACTGTTTAATGAATACCATAAACACGTACGATTTACAGTATTCAACGATGTTTCAGTGTACGATAAATTTCATCGATTGGACAACTTAATCGAAGATAGCTTCGGTAAACCATTCACGCGTTTCTCGACGCACGATCAAGCAACATGGAGGTGTGCCGTCGCACGCAGTTTGAAAGTGTTAATGATCTTTATCTACCTTCTATATCTGCTGCCAGAAAGTGCTAAAAGTTTCTTTTCGAAGAGCGTTTGCCTAATACCTTTCCCAAACCTTGAACCGTCACTTTCGTCCATTAATTTCAATCGCCTTCCTTCCGTCTTCTGTTACTTCTTAACAATTTCTAGCCAGTGACGATTATACCGACGAGTTCGAAAGAAAAAGAAAGCGACGAATTATTATATACGGCTCGGTCGCTCGTTATGGTCCGCAAATCAGTTGCCAGCGCAATGAGTTAACAGCAATCCCGAAATTCTCGCATTACGAGATACTTTCGGGACCTACTTTGAAATAAATTCTCGCGCATTCTCTAATTGCAGTGTATAACATAAAATGAGAGAACTTTCGGCGGTGTTAATTTTATCCCCTTAGAGTTCGATATGCACAGTTCATTATACACTTCTCTAATTCTAAAGTTTCTAAGGTTTACAGTCATAATTGTTATAATTATTATAATTATAATAATATATCATGCAATATATTTTATTTTAATTACAATTATATTATATAATATTATATAAAATTATATTACAATATATTTTACAATATATTAAATTATAATCATAATTATTGTAGTTCATAATTTTTTTGAATTTCCAAATCGTCGATAATCCACATCTTAACACGAAGACGCGCTTTCGGGGAACCGAAGCGATCCACGGTGCCCCGTAGCGACGCATGGATAACTCGATTACGACGTGCCTGTAAATCCATCGATCACCTCTGTGGGAACGATCGTGTACACGAGTTCGCCGCGGCTGTAGGGATATCTCGCGAGATGCAAGAAACGCGAGTCGATGCAATCAGGCACTGGGAACTTAACAGCGTGCGGACACGCGGCGAGTCGTGTCGCTCAGCGGAGAAAATGAAAACCGCCGGCCGCGGATGTAAATAAATCAGAGCAAACACAGAGCAGATACAGAAAGCCGGCTAGAGACGGAGTAGAGTAGAAACAGACACAGAGAGAGAGAGAGAGAGAGAGAGCGATTCTCGGCTTGCGAGAAAGAAAGAGAGACTGAGAGAGGTATAACAAAGAGAGTAAAGGCTCTCTTAGTACACGAGGAGAACGACGATTAACAACGACGCGAATATCGGAGAACGTACGAGTGGAAGAGGAGAGAAGGAAGGAGATAAAGGACGATGGTCAGGTGGACGGGGGTGGAATCTGGCGAAATAATGTGCGCGAGATTGCTTGTAACCCGAGGACCATGCGAGGGTAACCCAATCTTTTTCTCTTTCTCCCCCTTTTGCTGTTTGCGTGCCGCGAGGATGAAGCTGAGAAGTCTCGTCCCGAGGGTCTTCCAGAGACCCTGTACGTGTGTGTACACACGGCGCGCAGCGCCTTGGTTAGCAGAGTACAGGCTCGAGAGGCTGAGCAAACACGATTACTTATTCAGGATGAATCGATGACGAGCTACCGAGCATACGTCCACGCCTGATTGGCAGTAACAATCGAACATCGGTCATGCAGCGCTAGAGCTATCGCGTTTGCTAGAGCTAGAATTATCGTGTTGCATGAGAAGATTGGCTGATCACGTTTTTTTCCCCATGTCTATTTCATCGAACAGGGCGTTTCGAATGAGAAAGAAAATGTCGCAGGAAGGAAGATTCGTGTTGAAGCAATTGAAAAGTCAAAAGTTGTTCGAGAATTGGCAGATACTGAATCAAAGCTGTTATTTATTTTCAAATTAATAAAGATATTTTCGAGAAGTTCTGTTTGAATCAATCGGTATAATGTCAGAAATTACAAAAAAAATTTGCGTTACGCAAGAGCCAATTAATGTTAATAAAAATTGCGAAAGAATTTCTTTATTTACCTCAGTTTTTGGCGGCAATCCTCCTCCGTGAGGTCCAAGGGTTGCCGAGGCGGTGGAATGGGGTGGCACGCCGGGATATAATTGCGAGTGTGGCGACAATCCGTGAGCATGGGGGTGTGGGTGAGGGGGCGGTGGTGGTGGCGCAGGGGGTTGCAGAGGATGGGCGTGGGGCAGAAGAGCAGCTGCGCTCCTCAAAATATGCGCCTGAAGCTGTTGCAGGTGTGGTGCCATCCCCGGATGCATTCCCAAAGCCGGACTCATTGCTACGACACAGAGGAAAATAATGGAAAAGATTAATAAATTAAATTGAGAGTAAAACAAATTTAAATACTTGAGAAATGATAGAGTGATGCTTAAAAATGACTATCTGACATAAGAATGACACGTGTTCGCATGTAAACTTTTAATAAAACACATTAATGTTTTTACAAATAAAGTGATTGTCTTTGAGTAAAATATACAGCGCGCGAGTGTGATAAAAAGGAAATTTGTTTCTGTCAAGGATTTTGTATATTTTTTAATTCCTTCTCCGAAATTATCATTTATCACTGCAACTTTTTATTCTCGGTAATTTCAATTTGAATCGAGCTTTATAACTAGTTTCGCGTACAACGATTACCAGTTTTCAGAATTTAAATTATTTATTAAACTAAATATTAAAATACACAATATATGTCGTAATATTTTATATATTCTCACATGTTACATGGCAACTGATTGCGGACCATAACGAGCGACCAAATACAACACAACTTGCGCTGGCAACTGATTGCGGACCATAACGAGTGACCAAATACGTATACAACGATTCGTCGCTTTCTTTTCGAACTCGTCGGTACGAAATCGCTGGATAGAAATTATTGAGAAGTAATAGATTTATTAAAATTATTTGTCTTGCCTGGGTTATACTTAAATATACTTAAAACCGAGCTTATACTTAAAAAAATGTTGCAATTTTGGGACAAAAAGTTCTCGACGCGCGTGGCACGTCATTCGAGCGCAGGAGGTTGTTAACAAACAATGTTTTTGCCAGTGGTATCCACAGTTCATCCATTAGTTCATAAACGTCTTTCTCGAAGACCTAAATCTTCCCTCCCCCTCGTACAAAGGAGGAAAGAACGACACAGAGCCGCAGCCTACACGATCACCGGTGCACACAGAGGCCCCACAGTTTTGTAAGACAGGCTGGCAACATTGAAATGCAAGCTTGGCCTACGTGCCGGAAGTCCGGCGTGGCGTGCCTCGACTGTCGAGAGAATGGACGCGGTCCGATTTCGATCTCTATCGATTATCCCCGGTGTATCGCCACCCTCGTCCGCTGAATTCGCGTTAACAATTTAACGAACGTTGTACCAACGACACACGCCCGCCATCGTTATCGACCAGCGAAATCAGCGTCTGGCTGTACGAATAATTCGCTGTTCCGCCGACAGTTTTTTCTCCACTTTTTTTCTCTCTCTCTCTCTCTCGTCGCGTTTGTTACGGTATCGGCTTTCGGAGTTTCTACAACGAGCCAGCTGGATTTCCATGCAATTAATTATCGAGAATGCGCGCTCGTTGGATCGAACATGCGCCGATATGCGAGTTTAATGCGAAACGACGCAAATGCATATATGCGCCGATCTTGATTCGAGAATTTCGAGTTTGTTGTAATTGGGCGTAACGAGTTCGGTCGCTCGGGTTATCGATGATTTTTTTTCGTGTTGCGTGATTTATTTAGCCGGGGATGCCGGATCGAATCGCGGAAGAATGCTCGAACGTTGACTTATTGACGGGGTGAATTGATTGCCGTTTGTTTGAAATGAAACTAAGAAATATTGACGGAGTTATAGAAAGTAAGTTTCTATTCTATGAAATTCATGAATTCTATTTAATACGTATATTTATCGCCACCAATAAGCTTATCTTCTATTTTCATTTTTTCAAGACCCAAAGCCTTCTTTAAATTGTCAGCTCTATGAAACACTCTAACGTTTAGTTATTCCAATAACGCGTACTAAGCTAAATTTTCTTAAAGGAAGAAAAAAAAAAAAAATCAAACATATGTGTCATATTAAACTTACATCGTTCGACCGAAAATATCTTCTGAACGATGATGCCGATGCTGTCCAATTTGCTTGTCAAAGTCTGCTTATACGTAAGCGTAAATGGGTTCGGACGCGATTTAATCGGCAACTGGTTACACGATGAAATATTAACGATACGCATGGTTGCCAGAGCGAGTAAGCTCGATAAATTGCCACGGTTAAATTGAACAGCGTTCAATATGGCGATGTCGGTGCGTTACGTGACGAGACTCGCGGATCACGCTTCCTTCTAATCGAAGTCTCGATTGACAGGTTCCCTGCCGCTGCTCTATAAATTAGGTTTCGCCTAATCGTACCTATGTACGACCGACGTACATACACCAAACAACCTTCGATGCTCGAACGATCGATCGTGAATCATTTTTCCCAAGACAAACTCGATCTTTTGTTCGATTTTTACATTTAGAATGTGATGGAAATATTTCCACCTTATAAATGCCTCTGCTTGGTGATCTTTATTTTATTTTAGAACAGTGATGCTCGATGCTTGAACGATAAATTGTGATTATTTCTCGTGAAGTGGATCCGATCTTCCAATTATAATCTAACCTTTCACGCTGATAGAAGCACTGAAACGCAATTTTCTCTAGTTGTTTTTATAAAATTAATTTCTTTTCATAAAACGTGGAGAATCCATTCAAATTAAAAGCTTGTACACCCTCTCGAGATATTCTCGTCTATTATTTTCTCTCAACTGCAAACAAATACTTGCCTAATGACCATTTTTTCGCTATTCATAAATAATCCCATCTGCAGTTGCAACGTTAGTTACCATTCTCTTCTTTTGCAAGACGACCGAGGTAAAGCTTGCGCAAGCGTGCAGAAATCGTTAGAAATCTCAGGGTTCAGAGAGCACTTTTTAAGCCTTTCAGCGCTGGATCACGGTCAACGATCACACAACAGTCGATCATCGATGCAACGGAGCAACAACGTCCACGGTGCCATCGCGAACGCGCGCCAAAGCGCTTAGGCGACCGGTCACGCCCATGGCGGTGTCTACGATTCTAGGCGGTGTGCCTTCGTAAAAGCGAGCACGTTGCCGCCACACGAATGCCTAACTAACGATCTCACGATGACTCTAAACTAACGATGACTATTTAAAATAACGACGGACACTTGCTGCGTTTCCTTCGTTCTTTCTTTTATTTTAATCGATCACGTTTAACCTTTTGCGCTGGAATTTTCTTTTTTTCTTTTTTTTTTTTTGTGCAATATTCCCTCAGTTTTAAGTATATTTAAATATAACCCAGACAAAATAAATAATAAATTTATTACCTCTTGGTAATTAGAAATTATCGACGAGGTCAGAAAAGAAGCGACGAATTATTCGCAGTGTACGGATTGGTCACTCGTTATGGTCCGCGAACCAGTTGCCAGCGCAAGGGGTTAAATCGAATTGAAGATGTTCAAGATAGTTCCCAGAAAGATAGTTGGTGATAAATTGTAATCATTTTTGATGAAACGGACCAGTCACTCGAGTTCGGCGGTATCATTTACAGCGATTATGCGACGATGTTTCCGGAACTTGTAATGGGCGACGAACACAGGAGAAGTAAACGGGATGTAAAACGTTCCTTTGCATCCTAAATTAATCACCCGGTTCCTGTTATAAAGTACCAAGGTATTGGCAATGCAGACAGCTGCGCGAATTGATTATGATCTTTCCAGCAATTTCTTTTTCTTTTCGATTTCCTTTGCCGGGGAGATTGATGTTGCATCGACAGCTTGGTTGTTGATGGGTTTTTGATTTTTTGATTTTTCAATAAATTTTAATACTCGTAGAATCGAAATTAATATCGGCAAAAGGATCGCGTTTGAATAATAACAGGATAGTTTTCTTATTAAATTTAATTCATGAAAAATCTTAGCATTTTTATTACCATGAATTACGTGAGCATTATCTCTGCGTTATCTCTCCGCCTTATTTTATTTTAAGACATTGTATATATATTAAGACATATTTACAATGATAATTCTTCTTCGCGAATTATTAATATCGATAATAGAAATGCATTTATACTGACGTTTTTCTAACGCTTTGTAATAATCTTAAAGACAACAAATACATTTATCTTTTAATTGATCTACGTAATATATTATCTAATCAAAGTGCAAACGTGTATACATGCAACGTCTAGAATTAATTATCAATAATAAATAAGTAGTATAAATATTGCTATGTTTCCAAGAATTTCCAACGACTGTAGATATTTACCGCACCACGATCAATAAGCAAAATCGCGAGACATTGACAGCAAAACACGGAAGAAAATTCCTCCAAACATCTTCAAGCAGAGTTTACGTCTCGTTCTCAGAACGTTCAACAAGCAGGTAAAAATAGTGGCGTTTTACAGCGTTCGTCGGTTTGTATTTTCTCGTTGTGAGCGTTGATCGCTCGTTGGAATCGCGACGGAACTGCACGCCTACGATGCTTTATTTAAGAACACTATAATTTCGTGGAATCGGCCGTACGTCGTCGTGGTAACCGGTTGTCTACTCGTACGCTGAACGATAATCGCTTAATCACCTCGGCGATATTCCCTTTCTGCGACGCCGATAGCGAGAACGGCTTATGAAAAATTTCATAAAATCACGTAAAAACAAGGAATCAGCGTCCGGAAAATCTCGAGTTTATATACGATCGAACAAACGTCGGTAGTTCAGATACGAGCAAACGGCGATTTATTGTTCGTTTGTATCTTCCATTTTCCTCTCATCTCGAGGAAACTTTCACGACGTAATTCTCGAACGAATTTTCGCGATTAAAATGATTCACCAACCTTTTGACATATTACAATTTTTCCTTTTAATAAATTTTCAATATTTCCGTACCAAAATCGTATCTTGTATTTCACTAAACTAAAGAATGCTTGAAAGATAAAGGAACTTCATCGATTACAAGAAATACAGTCCGACGCGCAATCTCGTTATTAAAAACGAAAATGCGAAAAATTCTCGCATTTTTATATAAGAAATCTTCATTTTCCAAGAAGAAATCGCACAAAAATACGTAGAAATATTCGTTGGTGATACGACGAATGTACCCCCCCCCCCCCTCTTCCTCTCGATCCAATTAAAAAAAATTCCCGACTAAACGATAATTCCTCGAATTCCCTGGAACTGCGTTCCTCCTTCTCATTCGCCATACACGCGCGCAGAATTCACTTGTCGCCGCAGAAACGTCCCGGCGGTGGAAAAAGGCAGGAATCTGCGATCGGTAGCGTACGATGGCGACATTAACGAGCGTCGGGCAGCATCCTGCCGTGCATCGTACCACGCCGTCCTGACAAACGACCGGGTTGATCGCGCGTCGCTTGAATTTTAATCCGTTAATTACTTCATTTAATCGCAAATTACCGGCTGCCCTCGACTCGCGAGCAAGGAGGTCCGCAGGACCGATTTGTGGGACGCGCCGCGGTTGCAACCGGCCTTATAATGGCTTCATGCGCACCGCCACTTTAATTCGATGCCCCTAACCCTAACCCCTACCCTCTTTTTACGCTTTTTCCTTTTCTCTCTCCCTCTCTTTCTTTCCTTTCCCTTCTGCACGCCCTTAAACGTCAAGACCTGATCCTCGCGAGGACGAGAGGCTCCGTAGCTCAACGCAACGCGACCAATGACTTTATTCGTTTCGTATATAGGTCCGGTAATTATGGTAATTCGGCACGGCCCCGGGGAGGACCCGGTTTTCCTGAGAAACCCGCCGATCCGACCAACGTTTTACGACGAATGTTGATCGCGTTCCACGCGATCGGCAAATGATATACGGCCGGTACCGTGGTGGATACGCGGCTACCTCGCTTGTAATGTTTCAGCCGATTTCGTGAGAATCGTATTACTCGATTAAGTAAACTCGCGGTTAGGCGAAGAGGCAGTCGTGTGCAGTCCGCGGAGGAAGGATGGGGGTCGGAATCGTCGGCAATTTTGAACCGTTAGGGGACGGGGTTCTCTCTCTCTCTCTCTCGGTTTTGCGGAATTTCTTTCGCAACGTATTATTTCCTGTATTCGACGAGAATGGAGGAGAATTTGAACTCGATTTATATATTTATATAATTAATTACGTATTTCTACATGGATTATGATTTGTATTTAGAGTTTCCTCTGTGGGCAGTATAATTCAATGTTAATTTATATAATCGTACAAATTGCATATTTCTTCCCAATTTTGATCCCAAATTAACAAAATAAGTCGAAACCTTTCAGAAAAATCAGCCGCAAGAATAATTGTAAATCTCTACGCATTCGATCATCTGTTACCGAAACATTGCTCAAACAACCATTAACCGTTTACCCGTTGCTAAATTCTCAATTATAACACGTCCAGACAACCGCGTCATCAATCACCCAAATATCATTCCCCGTAATCGTCCGGAAGACCCATTTCTCACCTTGACACTCTCGAGTTAATCGCTCTTGATTGCCGATCGAGCGCCGCTTCGAAGTTGCCGAATCTTCGAACGGAACCGTGTGCGAGTTGCGTAAAAAGGTGCGACTCGTTTGGCTACGTCGCGGGCAATAACGCGGGGAAAATGCGGCTGTCACGCGGTAGTCGCGCATTAACGGCCAAGCTGCGCGGCTACACGTGTAATTACAAGCGTATAATTCACGTGTCGCGTACGCTCGCGCGAAAACGTTTACGACCGCGTCGAGGTCCGGATGGAAGCGGGCGCGCGAGCGAGCTTGCCCGTCGGTAATTACGAGCGATCAATCAACGTGAACCAACAACGGATGGAAATACCACGGGTAAACAGCCGGTGACTTACGTTTTCGGACCGTGCGCGTTCAGCGCGGGTGATCTCTTAATTGCGTCTTTCTCCGCCTCGACTACGGCGCGACTCAACCCGCTTATTTATCCGAGGTAAATGTAAATCGCTGGCAACAGTTTATCCCCTCGCCCGGCCGTGACGTCCGTCCAGAAGAAGAGAGTAATTAGGCACAGGTGTTACACGCGAGGTCCGCACGGCACGACGAAATTTACAGCCGAGAAATGAGTTGTTCGGCCTGTGCCTCTTATCTCCATCGGCCATTATTTATTATTATTAATTATTCAAAATTGCCAGCGCAGCCTGGAATATCGTTTCGAGCCTTTTTCTCTGCGACCGAAAAAATCGGGGCTGGGATTGATCAAATTATTTCTCGTTTCTATCAGTGGATAAAACTGTTATTAGCAGGACAATTTTGACTTTGAGAGACTCGTTTGATTAATATCGAATTAATAGCGACCGATTTTTTTTTCAAATTTGATCTTTATCCGGAATAATCCGTGTTGCATTAAGAAAAGATTGAAGTATAATTCTTTCGCCGTTTAATAATGAGTCTTCTTCCAAGAAGCTCTACGCAACGACAAGACCATAAAATTATACTTGTATTGAAATATGAAAACTTTTATATTTCACAGAAATTCTCCTCTAAACTTCAAAATTCTCCACGTCAAGTCATCGTTAAAAATTGTAGAATTCTAATATTAATTTTTCATTAAAAAAAAAATTATTTGCATGTTCTACATCGTTTAATAATATTTTAATAATTTTTATATATTTATTAAATATAAAACAATTTTTATTATTTTCTATTTTATTATTCATTTATTAATAAAATTAAATTTTAGAAAATTACATATTATTTTTAATTTTAAACTTTTAAATTACATTATGAATATTAATTTATTCAATATTACCATTATTACTTAGATTCATATTAAAATGAAATCATTTTATATGAAATAATTAAATAATTTTTATCACATTTGTATTTATCATATTTATTATTAAGATTATTATTATTATTATTAAGATATTCAATTATTTAAAAAAAAATTAATTCATCGAGTCGAAGATGACTGTTTCGCAATAGAGATTTAGAATTTGAACAAGACGCGAATCGTTCAAAGAATCGAAGGAGGATGAAAGAAAATTTTCTTGCCCGTTCTGAGGAATGTAACGATTGATTGAATAAATTGAAATAAAACTAAATATCAATAATCAGGTAAATTAATTAGATTGCTCACCGGCAGAAAGATGGCCGTAGCTGCCGCTCGCGCTGCTACTCCGTGATCCGTTGACGATGGAGGCCAAGCTGTTCGGACTGAATCGGATCATGCTGTCGATGTCGAAACGATCTGAGTACGGGGAACTGCTCAACGCTCGCTTCCGGCTCGCTCTGATCGCCGATGCCCTTGGACTTCCTAACCTCGATGATGCTGACACTAGAAATCAAACGTTCTTCATGTTGGTTGCTTTCACTTTCGGAATTGGGAATTGAATTTAATCTCTAACCGATGTTGCCGATGTTCTTCTTCATACCGAGACTTGAATTTAATCAACGTTCTTAAAATTGAGATGAAATTTATCCCTCAGCTGATTATAATTAATACAATGAATATTTTCTTGAAATACAGGCGAATAAGTTAGTTTAAATTAGATTCCACTTTAATTGATGTTTCTTCGTCGTCATTGATGTCTTTTACATCGAAACTTGAATTTTAATATTCTTTCGAGCAGACGAGTAGATTCAATCTTAATCAACTTGTGCAAATTTGAAACCATCCACCAAACCAGTGACCCGTACTCGAGAAATATTATAGGGTAGTCACTAAAAAAATAACTCTTACAAATACGTGTCTCTTTAATTTTTTATTATTTTATTTGGAAATGTAATTAATGGATTTTCGTCAGTATTATGTATTAATCTCCAAGGGATGCTCTATAACCTACAAAAAAAAAAAAAAAAAAAAAAAAAGAAATAAAAGAGATTGAAAATGAACAAGTTGTGACTTTTTCCAAACCATTCAGTTTTCCAGCGGTCGCCCTATAATTTGACAATTAATTTTAGAAACAATTCGCAACACATAAAAAAAAGTACAAAAAAAAAAAAAATACGCGCATCTCGAATCGTCGCGAGTGTCGCAGAAAACAGCAGAAAAGATTCGAGCGACAGAAATGGCACGGCTCGAGAGAATCGCAGTAACTTTGGTCGCCTGACCGAGCATTAAAGTCTCCGTGTCTCGACGATCTCTCTCTCTCTCTCTCTCTTTCTCTCTCGCTTCCGCGTAAAAATTCAAACGTTGAAATATCGACGCACGAGGGGCAAATCGTGGAATCGATTCGTAACGCGGATACAACAGACGGCCGTGCGAATTTCCATGAAGAACCCGGCCATGTTGGCGAGACGCTGCCAGACGAAGAACCAGTTCAATTAAGCGCTACGAATTCTTGCGGCTGGTACACACTACCGGGGGACGAGGAGAATATTCCGTGGCATGGATTTTTAAAAGTTCTTGCCTTTCGGTGCGCGAGGCGCTCGTAACCAGGTAAGATATTCAGAAGTGAGACCAGCGGAGGAAGGCCAAGGGAGACGCGAATGGAGAACGATGGAAAAGGAGGTGGACAGGAGCGAGCAGGAAGGTGGATTCTGCGGCCAGAACGTTTTAGCGGCGATTTGCCTGCGACCGCAGGCCAACGACGTAATATACAAACCACTTTCTTAAGCTCGTGGTGGCGGCTCGCTTGTATGGGAGGCATCGTTGGTTATATGGTGGCGGTTCTTCGCTTCTTCGCCTTCGTTCTCCCCCTCTCTCCTCTTTCCGACCGCGACAACTTTTTCCAACGTGGATCCAGCTTTTTCTTATCATTTCTTATCATTGCTCGAGTTCTATACTTTTGTATACACTGTCACCGCTTGTGCTCTGAATTTTTGCGTAAATATATTTGTCCACTGTATAATTAAAAAATATCGCAATTGCCAGGCTTTCGGCTAAATTTCTTTAGACCCTTTGACTCTGTATCTCTTCGAAGATTCTCGTTCCTTTCTTCTTCATACCAGTTTCATTTTCCTCGACTCGAATCTTTTTTTAAGGGTCTTCTTTAAGGGCCAATTGCATTGACGTAGTATATCAGTAGCATTATTTCTTCCAAATTAATTAATTACCCTTAAAGAGGAATGACTGCCTGATAATTTTTCTGCAACTGTTTCTTCCGTATGAATTTTCGAATTTTGTGAAATTCAAAAAAGTATTTACTTGAGAATAGTTTAACAATTTTACATTGTGTTAATAATTGCACATCGTGCATGAGAAAGCTTGGACAACTCGTTTACAAGCAAAACGAGCACATTATATCCGAATTCCATTATTACTTTAATAAATTTTAAAATTAATTACCCTAAAGAGGAATAACTGCTTGATAACTTTTCTGCAACTGTTTCTTCCGTATGAATTTTCGAATTTTGTGAAATTCAAAAAAGTATTTACTTGAGAATAGTTTAACAATTTTACATTGTGTTAATAATTGCACATCGTGCATGAGAAAGCTTGGACAACTCGTTTACAAGCAAGAGGAGCACATTATATCCGAATTCCATTATTACTTTAATAAATTTTAAAATTAATTACCCTAAAGAGGAATAACTGCTCGATAACTTTTCTGCAACTGTTTTTTCCGTATGAATTTTCGAATTTTATGAAATTCAAAAAAGTATTTACTTGAGAATAATTTAGCAATTTTACATTTTGTTAATAATTGCACATCGTGCATGAGAAAGCTTGGACAACTCGTTTACAAGCAAGAGGAGCACATTATATCCGAATTCCATTATTACTTTAATAAATTTTAAAATTAATTACCCTAAAGAGGAATAACTGCTCGATAACTTTTCTGCAACTGTTTCTTCCGTATGAATTTTCGAATTTTATGAAATTCAAAAAAGTATTTACTTGAGAATAGTTTAACAATTTTACATTGTGTTAATAATTGCACATCGTGCATGAGAAAGCTTGGACAACTCGTTTACAAGCAATAGGAGCACATTATATCCGAATTCCACTATTAACTTTAATAAATTTTAAAATTATACTATAAATAATTATTGAATCACTCTCTTTATCACATCTCATGTGATAGAACATAACGAGTCAATTCTTCGAGTTATTCAAAAATTCTTTAAAATTTCATTTTTTTTTTCCACTTCCTCGCGATTTCTTTTCCTCCTCTTTATTCCTTTGCTACTCGAGCTTCTCTCCGTCTCCTCCGTGTCGTTTCGCACGAAGCAACGCGATACAGAGAAGAGGAGGCTCGAAGCAGCTCTTTCTCCTCGGTTTCCACTCGGTTGATCGCTCGTTCGCGCACAACGGCGTATAGAATTACTCGCGGTTGGAGCTCTCTCGCCTCTCGCGAACGCGCCTCCCTCTATTCCCTCCCCTCCCCCAATCCCCGATTATTAATTCGAGCACTGATCGAATTTACGATGGTCAACGAACGAACGAAAAGCGAACGAAGAGCAACGGGGGGAAAAAGAGAGGAGCCGAGACCGACTGTTGCGTGGTTTTTCCGCATGAGATGAAACGTTTAAGGTTCCTCGACGGTCTCGTGGCTTGATCGAGGTCGCCCGACTTCATTCCTCTCGGTTACCTGTGTCTTCTCCTCTTCCTTCCCAACTTGTTCTTGTTTCACAAGGTGGTAAACCCCTCTTTTTTTTTTTTTTTTTTTGCACTGACCAATCTATGGTTGCTCGAAACGATCATTCATCTTCAATATTCCTCCATAAAATTCTATCATTGGGTTTATCATTATTATCAGAGTTCATGTAAGTTTAAAAATGAGACTTAGCATTTCTCATAACCATATAAACATCCGTAAACACGAAATATTAGACACGCAAGCCGTTCGAAATACAAGCTTCAACTGATACGATTTACAGAAGATGAATCATTTGGTTCAAAGAAAAAAAAAGCTAGCATTATATTTCTGGACCGATGACGTTTTCTTTTTCGATGCACCATCTCCGCAGAGAGACAGAGACAGAGATCGCCGTATCTGTCTGAAGGGAGGTTGGAGGAGCCAGAGGCTCTTTAATGAATATGCGAACGATTCTCGCCGATCCCCCTCGTTCCTCGAGACGAACGTCCTCGTGACCCACGACCCTCTGGACTCTACACGTTCCGTACGCTCCACCCCCTTGGCTCCCCTTCGCCCCTCGCGAGGCTAACATGGGATTGAGACATGTAAATTGGTGCAATCGGCCACTCCGATCGACGCGGCTCGTCCGACGCTGCCTCGGCGCACGCTACCACGCTACAGGTCGCTTCAAATCACCAAATCATTGTGATTTCAATATTCACGGGAATGAATAATCAACTGGCTCCTTCAACATTCAGATTTCAATTTTTCATTTTCCGAAATTGTCGGCGGAATTTTGTGACAGAAAAAGGGGAAAAGATAAATAATGCAAGTTGAAGTAAAGGAGGAAAGATAAATAATGCAAGTTGAAGTAAATTCACTAAAATTTGAAAACAAAACTAAAAAATAATTACGATTGCAAGAAATAATTGCAGCATTTCGATCAATTTTAGGACAAGTGAAAAATGGCCACTTTCAATATTTAAATATTTAAATATTTTTATTATATTTTATATTATATTATTATATTTTAATATTTTATATTATATTTTATATTATAATATTTTATATATTAAATAATAATATTTTAATATTTTATATATTATATTTTATATTATATTTTAAATTATATTTTGTTATATTTTAATATTGTATTTTAGATTATATTTTAATATTATATATTTTACATTTTAAATTATATTTTATTGTACTTTAATATTTTATATTATATTATTATATCTTAATATATAAATATTTAAATTAGAATCAACTAAATTTATTCTATCATTGGGTATCCATCTCATTCCACAATTTCCCAAAACATCGAAATTCGATGAGAAACGCGTTCGGATCTACGAGCCTTCGGCCCTTCTTTCTCGATATTCAAACAAATCGGATTGAGAATTTCGTTCACGTAGATAACAGGCCAGAGTTAGATAAAAGGGTGGCAGGGGAGCCAGAAGGGGAGGAACAGAACGAGGGAAGAAGAAACGTGAGACAACCTGTAGGGTAGGCGCTAAGGTGTTAATGAGGTCGTGTCGCTCCGAGTCGATTCAATTATGCGGCGGTGGCGACTAACGAGGCCCCGTTTACCCTTTCAGTCGTCTTTTAGCCTCTCGGCCTCTTAACCGGTCGATCTCCTACCTGCTGCTAGCGTTGCTACACCTACGGCTAGCCGCCGCGTACCGTGCATCAGGATCTTTCATTAGATTCACTTGTCGTCCTCGAACCACCACAACCGAGGCGAAAAAAGTTTCTCGTTTCGTTCGTCGGATCGACTAGCCACGAGAGATTTTTTTCACCCGTTCGAGTCGTCCTTGCTTCTTTATTCTCTCTCGTGCTTGTTAGATCTTTCGGTTCTAGGTAGTCGTGATATTGACTTCGATTCTTCCTTTAGATCGTTGTTTCGTTAGACATTTCATTAGACATGCCTCGCGATTTTTCAATTTTGCAGTGATTGTTCAGTTGATTTAATTCGATTTAAATTTGTTTAACGCTTGTGGCTGAATTTAATCTAAACTGATGCTTGATTCACTTTCTCTGGATTATTGTTACGTGTTTCGTTGGATGCGAATTTTTCTTACGTTCTTCCGGTTAGTTTAGGTTTGTTGAATATGTTTGGCGTAACTTTCTTAAAGATCGTTTGATTAACAAAGAATTTCTGGTGACAAGCGACATATGCAACAGAAGCGATCGAGAATGCTTCAGCTTGAACACGTCGAGAGAAACTCTCTCGGTCCCTTGGTGTCGAATGTCAATGATTTTATCGATCTTGTCACGTCGGATTAAACTCGCTAGTCAGAAACCGTACTTTTGACAAAGGCTGACCCTTAAACGACACTTTGACCACCAAATTCGTGATGTTTCGATTCAAGATTCACGACTTACCGTCGATGGAAAAGGGGAATTCCGAGGAAGCGAGAGTGCTTGCTGGTCCCGCGGCGTGCAGAAGGTACTCGGGCCCCAAACCACCCAGTCCTAAAAAAAGAAAGAAAAAAAAATTATAGAAAACTGTTAGATGGTAAGAAGAAAAAAGAACTGGGACAGGATTTCATTCGACTATTTTTAAATAGGAAACAATACTGTCCCGTATCGCGTGGGGGAGAATTCAAAGGCCTTGAGCCTCGAAAAGATTCATCCGGCGGAAATGCGGGCCCTTTGTAGCTTCCCCAGGTTTAATAACAGGGATGCTACGCTTTTCTTCTCTTGTTACGTTCATCGAAAATGGGGGAGAATTGAAATGGAACCGAGTGTACAAACGTGATTTCGAACGTGAATTTCAGAGGTTAATTAATCTCGTTTTTTATAAAATTACGAACTATTTCGTGTTCTTACCAATTTTCTAGAACATCTATGTCCATTCGTTTTCGAAAAACTTAAATCCTAAACTTAAACTTAAAGTCTAAACTTCTTTCGACAATATCAATCTCAATTTTGACGACATTGCCACCCCACCATCGTTCATCATAATAGAAAATTCAAAAATCAATTTATCTCGCTACACTGCATTTCAATTATTTATTTACTATATTCTCTACATTGGCTTTCGTCTTCGTACCGTTCTGTCTCAACAGTAGAAAACAACGCTCGGCTGGAAGATGTTCAACGGCGGAATAAATTTCAAACAGCGGACGGGGCGACGTGATCGAAATTAGGCGACGTCTACCGCCGGCCTATCGTTCTAATTATCTCGGAACATGTACAAGCCGAGGTAATTACCGTGTAACGAGGCGTTGGGACTGTGCGTGGAGGCCTGGAGCTGGTGATAAAGGTGGTCCATGTAGTTGAGCCGGTAGGCGGGATGCAGGGCCGTATGCTCCGAGAGGGGGTGACTTCTGCGGAGGAAATCACCGCCGGAAGTCCCGTTGCCGGCTGCCCCGCCACCACCGCCACCGCCGCCACCGCCACCGCCGCCGCTGGCACCGCTGCTTGCTCCGCCACCGCCACCGGTGGCTGCACTGCCGATCGCCGTCGTGCTGCTCGACAATCTGCAAAATTATATTACTTTGTACAGGCCCATGTTCTAATTTTGCATTAATGACAATAACGATAGAAATTCAGACAATATAAATATAAATAATATTGCATTCATGACAATAATAATGACAATAATAACAGAAGTAATAATAATAATAACGGAAATTTTCGAAAACTTTGGAAAATAAATTATCCTATACACCTCTGTTCTCATCTTGCATTAATAATAATAGAAATTCAGATGATATAAATAATAATCTTGCGTTAATAACAATAACAATAGAAGTTCAGATAATATAAATAATAATATTGCGTTAATAACAATAACAATAGAAATTCAGATAATATAAATAATAATATTGCATTAATAACAATGATAACGGAAATAATAATAACAATAATGGAACTTTTCGAAAATTTTGGAAAATAAATTATCCTGTGTTCTCATCTTGCATTAATGACAATAACAATAGAAATTGAGATAATATAAATAATAATATTGCGTTAATAACAATAACAATAGAAATTCAAATAATATAAATAATAATATTGCATTAATAACAATAATAATGGAAGTAATAATAATAACGGAAATTTTCGAAAACTTTGGAAAATAAATTATCCTATACATCTCTGTTCTCATCTTGCATTAATAATAATAGAAATTCAGATGATATAAATAATAATATTGCGTTAATAACAATAACAATAGAAATTCAGATAACATAAATAATAATATTGCATTAACAATGATAACGGAAATAATAATAACAATAATGGAAATTTTCGAAAATTTTGGAAAATAAATTATTCTATGTTCTCATCTTGCATTAATAACAATAATAATAGAAATTCAGATTATATAAATAATATTGCATTTTTATATAAATATATTTATAAAATATTATATAAATATAAATAATATTGCATTAATAACAATAATAATGGAAATAATAATAATGATAATAATAATAACGGAAATTTTTGAAAATTTTGAAAAAATTATCCTATGTACCTTTGTTCTCATCGTGCATTAATAACAATAATAACAATAATATAACTAAAGTAATATATTGCACTATATAGTATTTAATACTGTGTCGGGAACAATTGTGCAATTATAAAATAAATATTGATAAAAATATAACGATAGTATCTAATAGTAAATATGTTTATTTGTTTTATTCTTGAAGAGAATCACACTAGCTAGAACCTAGAAAGGGAACGATCAAAAATTTTAATTGTTCCAAAGAAAAGTCATAAGCCCTTTGAGCACCCCTAAATTTATAAAACCACTTTAAGAGAGAGATTCTCCGATGGAACCATTTTAAAAACCTAATAACATTTTTAATCCAATATAATCTACTATAAAAATTTCCAAGTCCGCCCTATAAATTAAATGCACAAAAATGAGAGTGTTATTTTAACGTATTACAAATTTCTCCAAACAAGTTAAGATCTTTTCAATTCTCGCCAAAGTTTCAAATCCAGAGAACTCGCAAGGGGACGATTAAAAGTCCTAATTGCCCGGAAGAAGAGCCGTAAACTTTGTTGAAACGCCCTTAGAAACTACGAAACCACCGCGACAGCGGTGTCCGTCATCCGACAGAGGCATAAAGAAGCCTCCTCGAGACAGAGACGTAATTCAGCCAGCAGATTAATCATGCCGGGTGGAACAATGCAAAGAGAGGAAACGCTCGTTTAACGAATGAAATTACGACACGGTCGAAGCCGCGACAAATGGCGTGTGTCTCTTCGTCAAACATTCTATTTTTGCCGACGTCGACACGCTGAAGAGGAACAGGTGTCCTCTGGCAAGGCCAAGAGCTGTTCCTCGCTCGTGGTTGCCGAAAGCATATTCAAAGCTTCTCCTTTTTGCCCGGTGTCTTGCTCGAGGGGAGTGTGCAAAGGTGTGCCTTGAGAAAACCGACTAAACTCACTGACAAATCCGAGAATTGCTACGCAAGTCTGCTTTCGACTTTGGTTTATGGTCCGTTCGTCACGCACGGTGTATCAGGAAATGACGCGTGTTCTGTGTCATCAGTGTGTGCTGTTTGTCTTTGAACATTGTCGTTCGTTTGTCCGAGTATCCGGAGTATTAGATTTCATCCAATTATCTTTATCTGACATTCATTTGACAATTGTAATGACTGTTTGAGCGATTAGACTCAAATTCTCAAGTGTTACAGTTCTTTTTTTTTTTTTTTTACTCGGTTTCAAAATCAGTTTCGACAAAGACTAAATTTAAAGAGAAATATATAAGAATAAACAGAGGCAAGAGAATTATTTTTTCTTCTGTCAATTTCTATATCATAAACGCTACAATAAGTACTACTCGATTTTAAATTCTCAAAACGATCGCTTTCGAGTAAATGTGACCGAGTCAAACTAACCCTCGACTACTATTACGTATTGGAAATTGTGGTAGTCATAACAATTTTAAAATTTCTGCCAGAGAGACCTAAGACTTTGACTTAATACATATTAGTCCAGTGTTAATAATAATTCCTTCGTAATTTCGTCCACGAAAGAGCACATTCCCAGATAATTTTACACGAATCTAATAAAAAAGGACAAAAAGAAATGATGCCTTTCTGTCCCAACCGAAATACGAAAGGCGACAAAGGGAGTGAAGAATCGTTTGTTCCTCGCGGAATAGAGTGGCTCGCGTTTTGACTGACGGCCATTCACCACGCTCGAATCATCGAGAAATGGCGCGTGTCGCGTACCTTCAAAGACATTCTCTCAGCCGTTTAGTCGTTAGTGGCTCTTTACGAGCACCTCTCCTCTCGAGGATCCAAGGATTCTTCGAAAGAATCACAAAGAACGTCAGGTGGCCTGAGATCTTTATTGGAAACACGGCGAGAGGACCACGACCGCGTCCACTCAGGCGAGAATCTTCGTGTAACTTACTGCCAAGGTCGCGCGCTTGAGGAATTTCCCCGAGGCATTCTCGCTGGAGAATTTTCCAGAGGACGAGAAAGATATTTTATTTTTTTCTTTCTTTTTCAAATTAACTAGAGGCGAGAAACCCAAAAGCTAAAGTGTCGGGAAGACTAATGTTTTGTTACTGTTACTGAATAATGGACGATTGAAGAATAAAATCAGAAAAGTAACTAGACCAAGGAAACGATGAAAATACAAAATTTATGTGCCAGACAGGAGACAAAACCGAGGGACAGAAGAAGCTTTCATTAATACATAAGAAGATATTCAGATATTTGAAATAAACATTGCAGTGTTGCAAATCTGTAAATTCTTGATCTCTAAGATTTCCAAAATTTCTGATTCAAGTCTAAAAAAAAATGTCTAATTGGTGCAAATCAGTAACTTTTTAATTTAAAAAAAGTCTTTTTTTTTTTAATAAAAATAAAATCTATATATTCGTTTTATCATCTTAAGTGTAACTTTTGTCACTAAATTTAATTAAAAAAAAAAAAAAACTTGAGCCGTGAAAGTCCCAGAGATTTTCGAGATACTTCGTCCAAAGACTGTCTAGGAAATATTTTACTGACATCTGACAGGAATTACTACATATGGTGGAGAAGCGAGGACGTTTACAGGATCGTAGAAGTCACAGATCGGCGTTTCACCAACTGCCTTTAAATTAGTCTGTTTGACTGCATTCCAGTACATGTTCCGCGAGAAATTCTTGATACATATTTACATCCACCCTTTTTTCAGGTCATAAATTTTTATCCCGGCGGCGTACGCTTCGGGAACTAGACACGTTTTTACTACGCGCGTCAACAGGAACAACTTTATGGGACGTTAGTTGTACCAGTGAAAGAAAATTAGTGGACGAAATTCAGCAGCTGGTTTTCTGTTTCTCTTCGTCACTTCCTTGATAATGTCTTTGTCCATGTTACGTCTACAATTTAATTAAAGACTATCGAAAGATTTATAAATCAAAATGGTGAATTGTTTCAGTTTCGCGTTTTTTTTAAATTACAATGACTCTTGAAGAATTTCATTCCTTCCATACAATTCCATAATGATTCTAGACTATTAGATTAGAAAATACATCTAAGTATTAAAATTCAGAGAATATTGTCCCAATGAATTTGTACAAAATTTCATTCGCGCGGAACGAATCTAAAATACACATGTAACAAAAAGATAGAGACTGTATAATCTCAATCACATTTCAAATCTGTCTTTATAAATTACAAATATCGTGGGTTACGAATTGGGCGGATTATTAAATTCTAAAGATGTCGGGTCTTCAGAGTTTCGTCGCGGTGTTTCGCGCAGAAACGAAACGACGTTCTTCCTCTTTCTTTTTTTCTTTTTTTTTTTTTTTTCTGTTTTTCGGAGACGAGATGTGTCGCGTATATTGTGTGACAAACCTGTTAACACGAAGCGGCCGCGTAAAGCAGGTAACGAGTAGGCAGTAATCGAGATCCGTGGACTCTAAGTAAAGTCAAACACCGGAGCCGGTTGTCTTTGCTCAGTAAACTCGCGCCAGTGCGGAGCCAATATTTAGACAGGGGCCGGGGCTCAAACATCGTAATACGCGTTAAAACGTTATGACACGCGCCAATTGCTGTCTCTATTTTCCACTGGCTCCTGCTGCTTTTCACGCGGCGCCATTTTGCACCGTCCCTCGCAGCTCGACCGGCAGAGAAGAGTTCCCAACAAGAATTGGAAATCACTTTAAAGCGAGTATCTCGATTTATTTCTCATCTCGAATTTACTGACAGACAACTTTGCAGTTTGGAATCAATTGACAAGATCACTTTGACATGAAAATCTACTTTAGCCCTGATCTCGAATTTACCGAATGGAAGAAATTTGGAATTAATTTACGAGACCACTTTGGCATGAAAATCTAAACGTTTTGAGTACAGATAGATTTTGAAGATTTTGACGCACTAGAAAAGATTCTTATCTTTCAAACACCAAGTATATCATCAAATCACGCATCGTTAGTTTATCATTTCGAAAGGCAAAAGGAATGTAATGTTTCGTAAATTTTCATCGCGACGAAATTCGTTTCGGTTCGCCGTTC